CCCAGTATCTGTCCTGCACACGCACCCCCAGAACCCCCAACCCCCGGCTCCCGTCAGCCACAGACCAGACACACACGGATTCCGAGTGGCTCACCAGACACGGTCACAGACACACACAGACATCGGCGAGCACACACACCGACTCCTCGCCCACGAACACACGTGTGGACACACACGAGCCCGTGCCTCCAGGGCTTGGGCCCTTTAATCAGACCGCCACCGGCCCTGGCAGGGCACTCGCTGTTTCCCTGACAGGTGGTGCGTCCCGGGGGAGGGGGGGAGCCAGGGAGTAAACAGAGGCGGCCCCTGGGGCGCAGGGCCGGCCGGTGGCAGCGTCTCAGGGAGAGAGGGTGTGTGCCGTGTCGTGTTGGGGGCCGCTCTCCTCTGGCGTCGGAGGGAGAGAGGCCGTGTGTGTGTGTGTGTGTGTGTGTGTGTGTGTGTGTGCGCGCGCGCGTGCGGGGCAGGTGTCCCTCCCGCCAGGGCGGCTCCAGGCTGGCAGCTCTGAGAACAAGGCTGGGAAGCCCCGGCGTGACCCCAGGCTCTGGAGGCTGCGGGAAGGCAGAGGGCGGGGCCTGCCAGCAGGAGAGAAGTGGGCGGTGGAGTCGAAGGGGCACCAGCTCCGGGCGGGGGGGGGGGGGGGGGGGGGCGGGGGGGGCTCCGGGGTGGAGCAGGAGGGGCGCGGTGGGCTCTGCAGGGCAGAGGGGACCATCCGCCCCATCGGGGGGACCACAACACCACCGAGGTGGTACCAGACAGCCCCCTGGAAGAAGGAGCCGGGGGGAGGGGGCACGGGGGCGCGGATGCGCTGGACAGTGGCAGAGGGCAGAGGGCAGAGGGCGGGGCCGCCTCCAGCCAGGAGGAGCCGAAGGTCCTCCCTGGAGCTGGGCAGGGGTGCAGCTCAGCGCCCACCCCCCAGCCTGCAGCCAAGCGGGCCGACAGCCACACCCACACCCTGCCGCACTCCTGCCAGGGAGACAGAGGCCCGGGGCACCCTGCCCACAGTCACCCGGGCTTCCCGAGCTGCTAGTGCCGCCAGACTCGCCCGGGGTACCTCGGGCACGGCTGTGGGCTGGCCAGAGCCTCAGGGAGGGACCCTCTCCCGCCTCCCACCACCCAGCGTTCCCTCCTGCCCTTCTGACCGTGGGATCAGCCTCTGCGAGGGTCCGCACCAGGCGGTCAGGGCCAGTTCCGGGCTTCTGGTGGTGGACAAGGCAGGGACCTGGGGGACATTCTGCTGGGAATGAGGCGACACGGTGGTGTGAGCCCCCGGACGCCTCCCTGCGTACCTGAAGGCGCTCCCCGGCCCGAGGAGGACACGGCAGGGGCGAGAGCTCCGGACTTGGCGTCCTGCCCGCACAGGCACGACAGTTGCCTGTCTCCTGGTGCTGTTCTCCTGCCGGCCACCAGGGCCCGGCCCAGCCCCTCCCGGGAGGGGGATCAGAACCGCCTTTGATCCCCCGGGAGCCTCTGATCTCTCCGGGCCCTGAGCTCATCAGGACAGGCCCGGAGCTGGCTCAGAATGTCACCGGGAAAGCAGACAAGGAACAAAAAAGGAGAGCACTGTGTCCCCATATTCATGAGGGCTGCGAGGACAGGCACAGGCCGGGCCGCCCTGGGATCCCACAGGCCCACGGTGCCCACGCCCGGACTCCCGGGCGTCTCGGGGCTGAGAGCGGGCGGGCCGAGGTCCACGGCCACAGTGTGGGGTCCGGGAGCAGGGCCGGTGGTCCGCAGCCACTGCTCTCTGCCCAGGCCAGCCAGCAGCCGGGGCGCGGGGGTGGGGCTGCCGAGCCTGCACTCTGCTGGCCAGGGCAGCTGGACCTCAGCTGGACCCTTCAAAGCTGGGCCCGGCCACCAACTCTTCCGGAGGCCGAGGGTCCTTCACGGGACAGACCGCACCGGGGAGGTGCCCAGCAGGATGAGCAGTGCCACCGTGGCCTCAAGTGACAGAAGTCCCTGTCGGTAGCAGCTGATCCCTTGCTAGGGGCGAGGCAGGGAGGGACAGAGCCAGTTCCGGGGCCAAGTGGGACAGGAGCCCCGTCCCCGTCCCCAGAGTCCTCGTGGAGGGTTTTCTGGGGTGCCTGTCCCCATCAGGACAGGCCCGGAGCTGGCTCAGAATGTCACCGGGAAAGCAGACAAGGAACAAAAAAGGAGAGCACTGTGTCCCCATATTCATGAGGGCTGCGAGGACAGGCACAGGCCGGGCCGCCCTGGGATCCCACAGGCCCACGGTGCCCACGCCCGGACTCCCGGGGTCTCGGGGCTGAGAGCGGACGGGCCTGAGCAGACCTGTCCCTGGCCGTGACTGGCCTGCCGCCTGCTCCCACTGGCCCCTGCAGGGATGTCTGCATCCCCCTTCCCCCATGTCCCACAGGCGCTGGGCTTCCGGAAGGCGCCGTCAGAGCAGAGCTGCGGTGGAGACGCTCCAAACCCCGTGTTTCCCCGCGGTGCCTGCTGCGGACAGGCATGTCTCCTGAGGCTGTGCACGCTGGCAGTCCCCAGGGACCGTGCCCTGGCCCATGGGCGCTGCCCCAGTGCCGCCCTGCCTAGGCTGGAGGAAACCCTGGGGGATGGCAGGTTCCTGTGTGGCCAAGGGCAGGTGTGTTCCCCGCCCTCAGGGCTGGCCAGGGGCAGACCCAGCAGAAGAGACCTCCATCTGGACCCCCCCAGGGGTCTCATCAACACAGTGCTCCCCCCACACCTTGCTTGCTGATGTGGTGCTCCCTAACACAACACTTCCACTGACAGAATGCTCCATCGACAGTGTTCCCACCACCACAGTGCTCCCCACTCAACACAGTTCTCCCCACTCAAGACAGTACTCCCCACTCAACACAGTGCTTCCCACTCAAGACAGTGCTCCCCACTCAACTCAGTGCTTCCCACTCAAGACAGTGCTCCCCACTCAACTCAGTGCTCCACACCCGACAGTGCTCCCACTCAAGACAATGCTCCCACCACCACAGTGCTCCCCACTCAGCACAATGCTCCCCACTCAAGATAGTGCGTCCACCAACACAGTGCTTCCCACTCAACAGAACGCTGCCATCGACACAGTGCTCCCCCCTAGGCATGGTGCTGCCACAACGTTCAGGGTAGATGCTAATGAGGTGCTGGCCCTCGCAGTCAAGGTCGTGCTCAAACCTCAGGGCCAACTTGGCCCCTCGGGGGCTGGGGGCTGAGTCGCAGGGTGGGCCTGACACTGAGAGAGTCAGGACGGAGGACCATCCTGTAGGGCCCCAGGGCCGTGTCCGAGTCCTCACGTGCGGGGCAAGAGCAGAGGGCTCCAGACCTGACCGCGTCCCTGGCAGCGTGCTCCATGCGGCCTGGACAGAGGGTCTCCCCTCCCCAGTGTGTCATGCAGTCCCCTGGCACCCGGCAGGAGAGGTGTGCGGGGCGGTCCCCCTTCCATGGGGGGCTCCGAGGTCCACCAGGGGCAGCCCCCACCGCATTGCCTGGAGGGGGCGGGAGGAGGCAGCCCTGGTGGGGGTCTGCGGGGGTCGGAGCCGGCAGGCTGAGCCTGCGACAGACCCGGGGAGGCTGGGCCAGAGTCCGGGGGCAGCCGCGGCTGGCTGCAGGAAGAGGGGGCTGGGGGAGGAGCACGTTCCCGGCGGCTGGGCTTCCGGGAGGAGGAGTGCCCCCTCCCGCGGCAGGCTGCGGGGAGCCTCAAAATGGAGCGAGCAGCCTGATGTGGGCCTGGGGCGCTCCCTGCACCCCTGAGGACGCCCAGCTGCTCGCTCCCCCAAAGTTTCCAAAGCACCTTGGGGGGAGGGAGGAGCAGGACCTGGATGCAGAAGTAGCTGCTGCACGTCTGGGGGCGTCTGTGCCAGCTGCGGGGGTTTCCCGCGCCCGGCCCATCCTGCGCCCGGGGCCCCAGCCGGCCCGCTGTCCTGCGCCCGTGTCCCCGCGCCCCGCCTGTCCTGCGCCCTGGTCCCCACCCGCCTGTTCTGCGCCCGAGTCCCCCGCCTCGCCTCGCCTGTCCTGCGCCCTGGTCCCCAGCCGGCCCGGCAGTCCTGCGCCCGGGTCCCCGCGCCCCACCTGTCCTGCGCCCGGGTCCCCGCGCCCCACCTGTCCTGCCCCGGGTCCCTGCGGCCCGCCTGTCCTGCCCCGGGTCCCCACCCGCCCGTCCTGCTCTGCCAGCAGACGTCCCTCTCCCCGCGGGCGCCGCTCCCGCTGTCTGCTCTGTCGTGTGCCGCCGGTGCAGGTCCCCAGCCTGACGCTGGGTGGCCGCCTCCCCGCTCCGTGGGTGTCTGTGTGTCTGCGGGCGGGCGTGTCTGTCTGTCTGTCTGTCTGGCAAAGTGTCTGGGGCTGAGTCTCTCCTTGACCCTGGGGCTCTGCCGCGGGGCGGGGGGGGCGCTCCCGTCCTCCCTCCCTTCCCGGCCGCCCGCCCGCCGCTGCCCTTCGGCCCCCCGGGGCGGTGCCCGCGTGTCCCCGCAGCTCGGACTGACCCCGAGTGGCGTCCCGGGGGCCGGCGGCCGGGCCCGAGGCACTCGCCGCCGGCCGCTCCCTCCCCGCAGGTCGCCCGGCTGCGGGCGGGTCAGCCGCCGCTCCCGCGCTCCCTTATGTAACTCCGCGGCCGCCCGTGCCCGGCAGGTGCCCGGCCCGCTGCGCGCGCGGCCCTCGGGGCTGCGTCGCCCCCGGCCCGGGCCGGGCGCCGGGGGCCGGGCGGCCGCCCCGCGGCCCCCGCCCGCCCGCGCCCCGGGCCGCGCCCGCGCCCCGCGCCCCGCCGGGCGCCCGGGGCCGGGGTCGGCGCGGGCCGGGGCCGGGGCCCGCCGGGCGCGCCCGCCGCCCGCGCCCCGCCCGCCGCGCCCCCGGCCCGGCCGGCCCCCGCGGCGGGCACGCGGCGCTGTCCGTGGTGCTGGCGGCGGGGGCGGGGCGGGGGCGGGGCGCGGGCGGGGCGCGGGCGGGGCGCGGGCGGCAGCCAATGGCGGGGGCGCTGCGCGGGGCGCGGGCGCGGGGCGCACTCGGCGCGCGGCGCGGGGCGGGCGCGGCTCGGCCTCGGCGGGACCATGCGCCGGGCGCCCCGCGCCGCACCATGGAGCGCGCGCAGCCCGACGGGCCGCTGAACGCGTCGGGGGCGCTGGCGGCCGAGGCGGCGGCGGCGGCGGCGGCGGGCGGGGCGCGCGGCTTCTCGGCCGCCTGGACCGCGGTGCTGGCCGCGCTCATGGCGCTGCTCATCGTGGCCACGGTGCTGGGCAACGCGCTGGTCATGCTCGCCTTCGTGGCCGACTCGAGCCTCCGCACGCAGAACAACTTCTTCCTGCTCAACCTCGCCATCTCCGACTTCCTCGTGGGTAAAGCCGCGGGCCGGGGCGCGGGGGCCAGCCCGCGGCCGCGCCGCCTCGGTGCGGCGCGGCGAGCGCGCCCGGGACGCGTGGAGGGCGCGGGGAGGGGGCGCTCACGTGGCGGCGCGCGGCTGCCGCGGGGGGCGGGCGCAGACACCTGTTGGGGCTGGAGGTGCCCGGGTGCCAGACGCCGGCGGCGGCTGAGCGCCCCGGGGGGCGGGGGGCGCGGCGAGATCCCTTCCTCTCGCGGGGACGTGGGGGCCGGGGGCCCCCTCCCGCCCGCACACACGCGCCCGGGGCCGGGGGCGCCGGGGCCGCCCGGACGGGTGCGCAGGGACCCGGGCAGCGTCAGCCAGGCAGGGCAGGTGCGCGGCCGGCCGCGGTCACCGTGGCCCTTCCCCCGCAGGGGCCTTCTGCATCCCGCTCTACGTCCCCTACGTGCTGACCGGCCGCTGGCCCTTCAGCCGTGGCCTCTGCAAGCTGTGGCTGGTGGTGGACTACTTGCTCTGCACCTCGTCGGTCTTCAACATCGTGCTCATCAGCTATGACCGCTTCCTGTCTGTCACGCGTGCTGTGAGTGCCACGCCCTCGGGCGGCCAGCCGCGCGCAGGACAGGGCTGTGTCCGCGCCCAGGGTGGAGGGGGCCCGGCCCATGCTGGCCCACCTCAAGCCAACGTGCAGGACCCCCGCTGGCTCTCTCTCAGCCGCTGCCCCCTGCCGCTGCACGCCGTGCGTGCGCCCCCTCCGCTGCCCCTCCCACGGGGGCCCAAAGGTTCCCTTTGCCTCTCAGCCTGGCTGACTTTCTCGGGCCACATGTGGCCTAGTCCACGGCATGGACAGGGCAGAGGACAACTCCCGGGGCCCTGGCCACCTGCACTTTCCACACGGTGGGGTGCCGGGGCTGCTGGGGGGTCCCGCGGCTGTGTGAGCCGGGCAGTGACTCAGCCGAGCAGCGCTGGCCTGGCCCCGGGGAGACCTGGGTTCGAGTCCCATCTCCGCCCGATGCGTGTTGGCGCACACGTGCTGGGCATGACCTGGAGAAGCGGCGGGAGGGCTGGGGAGGTCTCAGGCCCCTGGGTGGCTGGTGGCTGACGGGGCCCCTCTGCAGGTGTCCTACCGCGCCCAGCAGGGCGACACGCGGCGGGCGGTGCAGAAGATGCTGCTGGTGTGGGTGCTGGCATTCCTGCTCTACGGGCCGGCCATCCTCAGCTGGGAGCACCTGTCGGGCCGCAGCTCCATCCCCGACGGCCACTGCTACGCCGAGTTCTTCTACAACTGGTACTTCCTCATCACGGCGTCCACGCTCGAGTTCTTCACGCCCTTCCTCAGCGTCACCTTCTTCAACCTCAGCATCTACCTGAACATCCAGCGACGCACCCGCGTGAGGCTGGACGGCGCCCGCGAGCCGGGCGGCCCCGAGCCGCTGCCCGAGGCCCAGCCGTCCCCTCCGCCGGCCGTGCCGGGCTGCTGGGGGTGCTGGCCGCGGGGGCGCGGGGAGGCGGTGCCCCTGAGCAAGTACGGGGTGGGGGTCGGCGAGGGCGCCCCGGGCCCCGAGGGGGCCGAGGCGGGCCTGGGCGGCGGGGGCGGCAGCGGGGCGGCCGCCTCGCCCACCTCGAGCTCGGGCAGCTCCTCGCGGGGCACCGAGCGGCCGCGCTCCCTCAAGAGGGGCTCCAAGCCCTCGGCGTCGTCGGCCTCGCTGGAGAAGCGCATGAAGATGGTGTCTCAGAGCATCACGCAGCGCTTCCGGCTGTCCCGAGACAAGAAGGTGGCCAAGTCGCTGGCCGTCATCGTGAGCATCTTCGGGCTCTGCTGGGCGCCCTACACGCTCCTGATGATCATCCGCGCCGCCTGCCACGGCCGCTGCGTGCCCGACTACTGGTACGAGGCGTCCTTCTGGCTGCTCTGGGCCAACTCGGCCGTCAACCCCGTGCTCTACCCGCTGTGCCACCACAGCTTCCGCCGCGCCTTCACCAAGCTGCTCTGCCCTCACAAGCTGAAGGTGCAGCCGCACGGCTCCCTGGAGCACTGCTGGAAGTGAGCCCGCGGCCGCCACAGGGGCCGGACCCCAGGCCGGGGGGGCTGCGGCGGCCCCCGCAGTCCTCGTTCGCCCCGGAAGCGGTCCCGGGGCCCTCTCTGTCTCCCAGTGCGTGCCCAGTGGTGTCGCCCCCTCGTTGCCACACAGGGTCTGCCCAGCGCCAGCACTCGCCCGCTCCCTGCACCCCGCCAGCCTCCGGCTTGGCCGCGTCTGTCCCCAGCTTCAGCCCGGGCGCAGCCCCTCCCCCGCTCCCCCGGTTCTCTCTGCTCCCCGCAAAAGTGCCAAGTGCCCTCCGCGCCGTGCCCCGCTTCCCCGTTCTGGGTGTCTCAGGGAGATGGAGAGACGCAGCCGTGAACTTGATGTTCCCTGGATGTTTAATCAGGAGACAAAATTGCTGAGGAGCTCGGGGCGAGATTGGCAGCTGGGGCTCCCACGCCCTTCTTCCCGGCTGCACTTCCGGCGGCGCTGCACCGGCTCTGCTGCCCACCCCCACCGCGGCCGGTGGGCACTCGCCCCGAAGGCCGGGGCCCGCCCGCCCGAGTGACCGTCCGCCGGAGAGGTCTGGCCGTCCCCTGGGTCCCGCGCCCGCAGGCGGGGACTGCTTGGCACCTGCGCCCCTGCCAGCCCCCTGCATGCGCTCCCCGTGCGCCCCGAGGCTGGCCTGCAGTAAAGTGTATTTTTTTAATCGGTGCTGACTCCGGAGGACTTTGTGGGGGGCGAGTCCCTGGGCTCAGGCTCCGAGGGGAGCAGCAGTGCTCGGCGGTGGGTGCACAGCCGCGGAAGGGGGGCCCTGGTGTCTGCGGCACGGCCCCGCTGGGCTCTGGTCTCTCCGCCCAGCGCTGTGGCCGGGCTCCCAGGCCGTGGGCGAGTGTGCAGGCCAGCTGAGCAGGCAGGCCTTGGAGGCGGGACGCAGGGACACACGCTGGCCCCGGGTAGGGGCTGGAGCCAGCCCGACCTTCAGAGGCTCAGCGCGACGGGGTAGATGCCCACCTCCTCCAGGCAGCCTGCCCTGGCCTCCGGCCCCCGCCCTCCCACCCGGACTTGCCCGTCGCAGGTCTGGGTTCTGCGGCTGCTGTCAGGATGCAGGGGGGCGGGAGCGACACCCAGCTGCCCGCAGCAGCCACGTGCCAAAGGGGAGATTTCCCTGCAGTGCCGTCCCCTCCTCCCTCCCTCCACCACCAGGTTGGGGCGGGAAGGGGTTCTACAGCTCCCTCGGGGCCGAGTGGGGTGCCGGGCTGGACCTGGGCTGGTTCCTGGCAGCGAGGCAGCGGGGGCACGCTGGCCCCGCATGAACCAGCCCCGCCCGGGCGCCTGGGGAAGGACAAAGAGCCTGTCACCACTGCAGTGGGCACGCGAGCCCACAGCACAGTCAGAGCCCTGCCGCCCCTCGGCCCGGCCATGCTAAGTGGCCACAAATTGGGGGATGAAAGCAAAGGCTTTCAAGCAATTTCGCCTTCAATCTCTGAGCACTGCGCTCGGGTTCCCGGGGGCGGGCACGGGGAGGGGCGGGGAACGACACCGATGTCTGCGGCAGGCAGGCGGGCCGGGCGCCGTGCCCAGCTGTGGGGAAGGAACAGCCCCCGGCACCGGGGGTCCAGCGGGGGACACAGAGAGGGGGCCACCTGGCCGCAGGGCTGGAAGCTCTCCGGAGGAGCGGCCTTCCATGCCTGGTGCTGGGCTGAGCCTCGGGCCAAGTGCGCTGGGGACACTGGCCGCAGAGCAAGCCCTCAGGGCGGCAGAAGTGACACCCAGAGGCCAAGGGGAGGGGCGGTCTTGCTCCCCGGGCCATCAAGAATGGGGAGGCAGCGTCAGACCTGCGTTTGGTTGGACTGAACTGAGCAGTGGGCTCTGGCCCCCGGAGGAAGGGCGCAGACCCCGGGGCACGGAGCTGGGACTGGCGCCCCGGGAGAGGGCACACCCCCCGTGTGGCGGTCTGGGGCAGGGGCCAGCCTGGTTCCCGGGGAGCACGGATCACGGTCAGGACCCCTGGCCACAGGTGGTGCCTGCTGGGGCCCGGAGCTGCTCCCGGCCAGCAGCAGACTGGGGTCCACAATCAGAACTGGTGGGCTTCTTGGGGTTCCCCTGAGGGTCCGTGGGGGTGGCACTGCGGAACCTGGACTCCACAGGGAGATCTGCGGGGCTGGTCAGGGACGGGCTGGAGGGGCCCTCGGCACAATGCTCACTCGGGACAGGCACGTGGCTGCTGGCTGGGGCCGGGCTACCAAGGCTCATCTCATCCTCACACGAGGGCAGCTTCCCCACATCTGGGGAAACTGAGGCACAGAGGGGAAACAGCCTGCTCAAGGCCACAGAAGAGCTTCGCTCTGTGGCCACGTCTCCCCCGCTCACCTGCAGCACAGGGAAGGTCCAGCAAGTGCCCCTGCACCCGCTCCCCCCCCCCCCGCTGCACTGCCCCTCACTGCACCTGCTCTCCTGCACCTCACTGCACCTTCACCTGCACCTCCACTGTGCACCTGCCCCTCAGCCTGTGTCCCTTCTCACTGAGTTTGCAGAAGGCCCCTGTGTTCTCTCTCCAGCCTCAGCGCTTCCTTTGGGGAGCACTTCACCAGCACCAGGCGAGGCCCGTAAGGACTGAGTGCTTGTGCTGGGGGGTGGTGCTCTCCCTTGGAGCACCCCCGGCCCCGGTCAGGCTGTGGAGAGCCCTGTTCAGGGCTGGGAGCAGCTTCCGGCTGCTCCTGCTTCCTGGGCACCTAGACTCAGCCCAACCCGACACTGCACCCCGTTTCGTGAGCCCCCGCCCCTCTTCCTTCCGAGAGCAGGGGGCTGGGCTGGCACCTCATCTCAGGGCACAGGGATCACGCAGTCTAGTCCCGCGGGCTCTGTCCAGTCCAAGGCAGGGAGCAGGTATTTAGTAACAACAGTCTTCCCCCCGGTGCTCGGAGGGAAACTGTATCTGTTCTCCCTACACTGGGCTTGGGGCCACACCCGGATGCCCAGGGCTCACGCCTGGTTCTGCACTCAGGAATCGCGCCTGGCACTGCTCAGGGGGTCACACTGCGCGCCAGGGATCGAGCCTGGGTCAGCAGCACGAGCCAAGCGCCCCTCCGGCCGGACTGTCCCTCTGACCCGGGAAACAATGTTTCAACACGAGGGCCGGGCTCAGGTCTGCCTACCAGTGCCGGAGTGCGGGCGGGACCTGACCCGCGTTGCTTCGGCTTGGAGCGGGGCTGTGCAGAGCCTGCCTGCGCCCATCTGGGAGGACCCCAAAATATCCTTCCAAGGAGACGGCAAGGAGAGGAGGGGAGGTGCCGCGCTGGCGAGGGAGCCACCCCGCCCCGGGCAGACCTGCCGCGCGCTGATCTTTCACGCTCCTGCGGCACGCAGCGGTCTGCAGAGTGGGCGTCGGGCGACGCCCCACGCCCCCTCCTTCCGGCCTGGCCCACGCGCACCCTTTCCGCCAGGGCCCCCTCTCCCTCCGGACTCTCTGGGGCTGCTCCTCGGAATTCACACCAGAGGGAAGGTGGGCGGGCGGGACTCAGGGCCGAGGGCGCTTCTCCTCCCGGGGAGGCCGCTCCACCCAAAGGTCAGAGCTGACGCAGGAACAGACATGCTGGGCACGAGGTAAGGCTGGACTTGCGGACCTGGCCCGTGGGGCGGGGCGGACCCGGAGACACCGGGGAGGACAGATCCAGGGGCGCGCGGGCACACGCACACGCACACGCACACGCGCGTGCACACAGACGCGTGCACACACAGACGCATGCGCTCACACGTGCACACACGCACGCACGCACACACAGGCACAGACGCACACGCACACACATGCCCGCGCACAGACGCACGCACACGCACGCGCACTTCCTGCTGCTCTGTGGGCCTCTCAGGTACCCCTGAGGGTCCCAGGATGGTGGGCAATTGGCCCGCTTGGGAGGGGGTTCACTGTCTGGGCGGGGCCAGTCAAGTACAGCAGAGGCAGCTACTGTGGGGACCTCCCTGGGGTGGCCAAGGAGTGGTGGGGTGTTCAGGGTGTGGTGGGGCGTGGCCAGGGAGTGATGGGGCGTGGCCGGGGAGTGGTGGGGCGTGGCCGGGGAGCGTCCGGGCAAGATTGGTTGGGGTGTTACTGGGAGCGAGCATTGGGGGTGGGTTTGGGGGGAAGGGTGTGGTCTCTGTCAGCAGGGGCCTCCCTAGGGGACAGAGTTTGGACAGCAGCTTGGCAGGTCTGGTGGGGGGGCTCAAATCCTGGTGAGGACAACTGGGCGGTCCCAGCAGATGAGGCCTCTGTCGCAGAGGGCAGCTGGGGGCGCTTCCCAGCCTCCACTGCCCAGCAGCCCAGCGCTGGTTTCTTGTCTCCTGCTACCTGTGTTGGGTCCCTCACGGCTGGGGGTGGGGGAGGCCCTGGGCATGCTGGGACCCTGGCACCTTCCTTGGCTGTGCCCCGGGGTTGAAAGGAGCAGGTTATTAGGCCAGCGGTGCCCCTGCAGCGGGCAGTTCCCAGTGCTGGGATAGTGCTGGCCCTCTGTGGCCGTTCCCTTCTGACCAACGTCCTCAGGCAGAGGGAGGACGTGTGCGCCCTGCAGAGACCCTGGCTCCTTCCTGGGTCTTCCGGGCACCACCGGTCGGGATTGCTGGGAGTGGGCCCTGGGCACTGCTCACCTCATGGGGAGGAGTGCTCCCGTCAGAACTCGGGCATCTGCAGCTGTGCCAGTCCCTCTGCCTGCTCTGTCTGTGCCCAGCCCCAGGGGCGTCTCTGAGCCGCGGTGGACCCTGGGATGTCCTGCAAAGGCCCCTGGGCAGCTGCTGTGCCCGGCCCACCCAGGTGGACTCAGTGAGCGCTGGCTACGAACCCAGGCCAGAACTTGGTATCCTGGTGCGAGACCTCGGATGGGGTGGCTCCCGACACTGGGGTGACGCCCTGGGTTGGTCCCCACCTGCACGGGCACTGCTGAGAGGGGACACGTGGCACAGGGCAGGGCCAGCAGCCAGTGCAGGCCCCAAGGGAGCAGGAGGCCAGAGAACCCCCTGGCTTGTCTGGGGGCATTTTCTGGAGCCTGGGGCAGGGGATTTGAGTCCACACCCTCAGGAAGGAGGCACAGGGTGTAACAGTGGGAGTCTCGGCTCTTGGGACTGGAGACGGGGGGGGGGGGGGGGAGAAGGCACCAGCCTTACACCCCAACATCAGAGGGTTCCCTGAGCACTGGTGGGGTCACTCCTGAGCTCTGAGCATCACTTACTGTGGCCCCAAATGTTCACTGTCCCTCAGAACTCAGAACCTTCTTGGGATCTGGGCCATGGGAGCTGGGACTCACTGAAGTCCTCAACATGGGGTGGTCCTGATGCCGTGTCCTGAGGGGCCTCAGACGTGGTGCTTCCAGGGCTGTCGAAGGCCCGCACAGACCATGGGGCACCGTGTCCGCCTCCACGCACCCCAGCCTGCTGACCAGACCACACGCGCTCCAGTTGCAGACCACGGCACCTCTGTGGTTGCTGCCCGCCTGGCGTGGCTCAGGCACCTGCCGGGGCCGCAGGCAATGCCAGAAGAGCCCGCCTGCACCCGGCTCGGGACGGGCCCCAGGGAGCGAGCGTGGCCGGGGCTCCTCTGCCTGGTTCCTTTGCGTCCGTGGAGCGGAGCTGGGATGGAAGCCAGGGCTGCCGCAAGAAGGTCCAGCTGCCTCCCGGCCCCCGGGGCAGCTCTGGCTACCAGGCGCCGCCGGGCCTGGCTCCTGAGGCAGGGAGGGGCAGCGGGCAGGCCGAGGGTAGAGAGCAGGGCTTCCAAGCAGGGGGCACTGCGCCCAGGCCCCTCTTGTTCCCTTGGGAGCAAAGAACAGGGTCCAGGGAGGAAACCCGGGTCTCGCCTTTGCACCGACACCCCATGTCCAGCGTCCAGCCAGGTTGTGAGGTGGGGGGCTAGGGGGGTTGAGGGCACCTGGGAGGCTGGGGCAGGGTGGGGGTGGGGGTCTTCCAGCACTGGACGGCAGCTCACCTGGGGCAAGGTCATGGCGTGTCTGGAAAAAGGTGGCTAACATGTGGGGTGTTAGGCAGGTGGGGTGTCAGCCCTGAGGCAGACGGGGTCACCAGGATGTGGGGGGCAGCGGCTGGAGTCAGGCGGGGGCTGTGAGAAGTGGGGTGCGGCAGAGCAGAGGTGAACCCTGCCTGCAGGGCAGAGAAGGATGCAGAAGATGGGTGCTGTCGTGCGGGGAGTCGCCTTCCTGCTGTGCAAACCCTGCCCCCCCCCCAGTGCTCAAGGTCATTCCTGGCAGGGTTTAGGGACCACCTGGAGACCAGCACCTCACCTGGTGCTCTCCAGTGTTTCCACCAGCCTTTAGCGATGATTCCAAGGGGCCGGGAAAGTGGCCCAAGGTGGGGTCTCGCGGGGAGCACGTGTGAGGCCCCAGGCTCAACCCAGCCTCTTTTTAGGGTCACATTCAGGGATGCTCAGGGGTTACTCCTGCACTCAGGAATTCCTCCTGCAGTGCTCAGGGAGACCAGATGGGATGCCAGGGATCGAACCCAGGACAGTGGCGTGCAGGGCAAGTGCCCTCTCTGCTGTGCTATCCGTCCAGCCCCGCTCCCCACCCCGGCCTCTGGCGTACCAAGCACCAGGGTGTGGACCCTGACAGACATTTCCTTCCCAGCAGAAACGAGACAGTCCGTTCCCAGAGGCGTCCCCGGGCCACTCCAGTGCAAAGGGTGGGGGGTGGGGGTGCAGCCGTCGTCGCACGCAGGCAGGCGGGAGGCAGGGCGTGCACGCCCCCTCTAGACAAAGATGAAAGGCTGGATAATTAAAGCTACTCAGAGCGACTCCAGGAAACCCTTTGTGGTGGAGAGCCGAGCAAACAGATGCCGGCCCCCGTTTCGGGAGCGCAGGGGCCTGTGAAATGACGAGACGAAAACAAAGCTTGGCGACAAGACTCTTGCTCTGGCTCCGGACCAAAACCACCGTGCGCTGCGGGCGCCACCCCACCCCCACGGGCCCCAGGGAACCTGCAGGACCTCCGTCCCCGCCCCTGCCCCCATGGGGACGGGCTGCAGGTCACGCAGAAGTTGGGACTCCTCTGGGGGAGAAGGGACGTTCCCGAGTGTTCCGGGCGGGCAGGCGGCAGGTCCTGGCCAGGCCTCCCGTGGGTGTCCGTCCGGAGATGGCTGCTGTCCAGGCCAGACCCAGGGCGGCGCGGGCACGGCCCCGTCTCCTCACAGCGCTGCCAGTTAATAACGGGCCGGGCCGGACGCCCGGAGCAGGTCGCGCCCGCCTCGGATATTGGGTGCACTGGGCTGTGACGCGTCTGGCTCCGGGCGGGCACAGGTGAGCGTGGGCCGCTACCAGCGCAGCCCCGGCGCGGCGGCCACGTGCTGGCCGTAGAGCTGCTGCAGCCGCTGGAGCAGCTCCTCCAGGTTCTCGCCGGTGCTCGCCGACAGGCCGATGGCCGCGTGCCCCAGGCGGGCCTGCAGCGCCGGCAGGCGCGCCCGGGCCTGCGGCAGGTCGATCTTGTTGGCGATGACGGCGTGGGGTCTCTGCGACAGGCCGCGGGCGTACTGCTCCAGCTCGGCCTGGAGGTCGGTCAGCTGCGTCCAGGGCTCCGGCACCGAGAGGTCCAGCACGAAGAGCAGCAGGACGCAGCGCTCGATGTGGCGCAGGAAGGCGCAGCCCAGCCCGCGGTTCTGGTGGGCCCCGCGCACGAGCCCGGGGATGTCAGCCACTGCAGGGGACACGGGGCCGTGTGGGAGGAGCAGCACCCCCAAACCCAGCCACGGCAGTCGCTGCCGGGCACCAGCCGGGGCCCATCTCTCCGGGGGCGGGAGGGGGGCCCAGAGCAGCTGAAGGGCCCTCGGCACCGACCGGCGGTTGCATTAGGGACAGGGGCTGCCACGGGCCCTGCGGGCCACGGCACCGGCAGCCTTGCTGTTTTTAATGGGGACGTTATCTTCTGGAAAGAGTTTTCTTCTCTCAAAACGGCAAGGGAAGCTGCATCAGTGTCCCGATGCCTGCATGGCGGAGGCCACTCAGCTCCCCCCACACACGGCAAGGAAGAGCCGCGAGAATCATTTCCTCACGCCTGAGATTTAAACTGACTCCTGGGTGGAGCCGAGGCAGCACGGGACTAGCCGGCTGGGGGCTGGAGAGAGCACGGCGGCTGGAGCAGCCCCAGGCTCAATCCCGGGTACCCACCAGCCCCCCTGAGCACCACCGAGTGTGGTCTAAGTGCGTGCACACACGCACACACACACAGAGACAGGGAGAGGGACCGGGGGTGGGGGGAGAGAACAAGAAAGAGCGAGAGAGCGAGAGAAGGAGGGAGAGGGAGGAGAGGGCGAGCGAGACGCTGACCAGAGCGCAGAGCAACCAGACCGTGGCCACGCCGAGTCCTACCTGCGACCTGCTGGTGGTCCTCGAAGTGGACGATCCCCACGTGGGGCTTGAGCGTGGTGAACGGGTAGGCGGCCACCGCTGGCCTGGCATTGGAGATGGCCCTGAGGAGCGAGGACTTGCCGGCGTTGGGAAAGCCCACCTGGGGGGTCAGCGTGAGGCCGCGTCAGGGCCGCGTCTGCAGGCACTGAGCGACCCGCCTGCCCCGCCGGGGGCCGCCTACCAGCCCGGCGTGCGCCACCATCTTCAGCTCCAGGAAGAGGACCCGCTCCTGGCCGGGCTGCCCGGGGGTGCAGGTGACGGGCGCGCGGTTGTCGTTGGCCAGAAAGAAGCGGTTGCCCTTGCCTCCGGCACCGCCCAGAGCAGCGACGAACTCGTCCCCCGCAGCCGCCAGGTCGGCCACCACTTCCTCACGCTCCTTCACTAAGGTGCCCACAGGGACCTGGGGTCAGAGGGGCCGGGGTCAGCGGGAGGGGAAGGGGGTCACCACGAGAGGCCGCCCGCCCCTGCCATCTGCCCTGCCAGGGAGGGGGACCCCGAGCACGAGCACAGCGGGCGGAGGGCGTCTGCCTCACACCCCATCCCGGCGGCAGCAGCCCCCCGAGCCCCCCGGAGTGACCCCTGAGCACCGCCGGGCGTGGCTCCGGAACCAGAAGCGCAAAACCCAAGCCTGGCCAGGAGGCCGGTGTCCGCACAAGCCGCCAGAAGAGGGACGCGCCCAGGACCCCCGCGGCCCCGCTCACCTTGACGTAGAGCACAGACCCGCCGCGCCCGAAGCAGTTCTTCCTGCCGCCACGCTCCCCGTCGACGCCCTGATACCGGGACAGCACGGACGCCAGCGACTTGACCTGCTGGTCCGCTGAGAGGCGGAACGGGGCGTGAGCCTGCGCCTGCCAGCCGGGCAGTGGCCACCAGGCTCCCTGGGCGCTAGGCCAACCCCCACCCCACGAGACCCCGGCGCCAGACACGTGGGCGACCGTCTCCAGGCGCCACCAGAAGGGGAGGGAAGACCCTTGCTCCGGCCCCTGCTGGGGGCCGTGCAGGCGGGCCGCCCCACTTGCCCCCCAGAAGCTGCTGGGCTCTGAAGGTCACCCTGCAAGTAAGTCTTCCTTTGTTTTTGGGCCACGGCCTTCAGTGCTCAGGGCTCTTTCCAGCAGTGCCTGCGGACGCCGAGTCTGCCGGATTCTAAGAAGGGTCAGCCACCAAGAAGGGTCAGCCACCGCAGGTGCCTTAGCTGCTGTCTGCCCCCGCCAAATCCCGTAACAGCACCACAAAAGCTGTGTCACGGTGCCATGACCGTTTGCCAAGCTGACCAGTCGCGTGTGGTAGCCTCCCAGGGCACCAAGGTGCCAACAGGCTCGATCCCCGACCCAGCCAGCTGCACCAGCTGTCCCCGCGGTCAGCTGCCAGGCTTGTTATCACAAAACAAAACTGGCAGAGTTGGGTTTTGGTACATCGTTTAAAGGTGAGAGTTTACTTAATTAAAAAAAGTCTTACCAGGTTTGTTTTTCTCGGGGGTGGGGCACACGTGGGGTTATGCCTGGCCCTGCACTCAGCAATCACTCCTGGTGGTGTTCAGGGGGCCACAGGGGATGCCTCGTTCAAACAAACCTGGGACCACCAGAAGTGCCTCCCCGCTGTGCCATCTCTCCAGCCCCCGTCTACCAGGTTTTAGTTTAATTCAGATTCTCCTCAGGGCCCTCAGTGGCCAAGCCTGGGCCGTGAGTGCACGAGAGCTGGGCCCAGCCCGAAGCTCCTGCCCAGGGCACTCCCTGCACACGCTGGTCTCCCCCGGGCACCTGCCTCGCAGGATGACGTGGCCGCCGTTGCCTCCGTCACCGCCGTCCGGGCCGCCAAACTCTTTCCGGGGCTCACTGTGGAAGCAGCTCACCCCATCGCCTCCATGTCCCCCTCGGACGAGCACTCGGCGACAGTCCACGAAATGCTTCTTCTGCAGAGACAGACACGGTCAGTGGCCGCTGCCCTCAGGGGCCAGGAGCCAGCGAAAGTGCCGTCTGCCTCAGAACTACCCGCACTGGGCCGGGGGCATAGCCGGAGCCCTGCCTCTTGGGCCCCCCACGTGCCTGAGTGGCTCCACAGAATTGGGGGGCCGGCCCACAGCCACCACACAAAGTCGTGGCCCATTTGAGGGTTCTGGGTGTCTGGAGCGTGCACGAAACACCTCCAGATCCCACAGTCCTGCCAGCCCAGCAGGATGGGGAAATAACACAGAAGCCAGCTGAGCTCAATAAACAAGACAGGAACACACCAGCTCAATTGGCAGCCGTAGCCGAGAACCCACAGACAAGGATTTAACAATCCCGTGGTCACATGTGACATTTCTTCTTCTTCTTCTTCTTTTTTCTTTTTTTGGCAGGAGGGCCACATACGAAAGTAACGCTCGGGGGCTACTCCTGGTTGGGCACTCGGAACCTGCTCCTCGTGGGGCTCAGGGGAATGGGTGGGATTCTGGAACTGAACCCTGGTGGGCCGTGTGCAAGGGAAACGCCCTCCCCGCTGTACTCTCGCTCTGGTCCCTCACAAATGATCTTCTACTGAAACATTTTTTGAAAATCGCATTGGCCATTTAGTGGCAACATGCAACGTAAAACGAATTACCTCTGTCTGTTAAGGGGGCAGGCTGGGGGGAAGTTCGGGAACACGGGGACACTGGGGAACGGGGACATCGGAACACCGAATGCCTGTAACCAATCATCACGGACAACTGCTTAAACGCAGGGCGGAAAACGCCTCAGTTCCAAAAGGAAAGATCTTCCCACTAAGGGAAAAGATTGGGGGGCTAGAGAAATAACACGGGGGCTAAGGTCTGCTGGCACACGGCTGACTCAACCACGCCCCAGCACCACGCGGGGTCCCCAAGCCCCAGCAGGAGAGGCCTGCGCACCAGGGGGCGTTGCTCTCAAGGCACCGTGGCCGCGCTGCCTGCGGAAGGCCCGTTCGAACCCCGGCTCCACGTGGGCCCCAAGCACCGCCAGGAGAGACCCCCACGTCAGAACAGGGAACCAAGTGTGGTCCCCAAACGAAACCCAACGAGGAAAAGCCTATTCCTAAAAAAGACGTCTGAAGGCGAATTGAAGAACCCGCTCCCACAAGTGACCACTTCCTGTGGGCGCGTGGGAATCAGCGGCAGGTGCCGAAGCCCCGTCCCCGGCGGGAAGGCGACTCGGAAGAGCCCCGCCGGCCCCTCGGCTCTGCCCACGCAGAAACGAGCCCGGAGGGGGCAGCGGAACAGGGCCGGCCGGCTCTGGGGAAGGGCCAGGCTTCACCCCGGGCCCCCCAGTCGGCCTCATGCAGAGTCCCAGAGCCCACCCGTACACAGTCCCAGGTGGGGCCGGGTCTGTCCTCCCATCGACTGCTCCACTCCAAGGACCAGCTTCACACACACACACACACACACACACACACACACACACACACACACACACACACTCAGAAACACAAAACATTTTCATTTTTGTGCTTTCACAGAAAACTATGTTTTGGCACCACCGTGTGGAAACCCCGTGAACTAGCACCTGAGAAACGCCCGCAGTGGCCGCAGCCCAGAGCCCAGGGCTGCAGCAGCTCACCAGGCAACAGGCCCGGCTCAAGACGGGCGGAGAGAAAACTCGACCCCATTCCCTTCTGGCTGGGGAGGGACAAACCACGCCTGAGCTTGAGACGCTGGCTGTACAGACGGACGGCCCACGGGATTCTCCCGAAGCCCGGCTGGGCTAACCCCTGGCCCGGCTGCTCTTTTAAGAGAAAAGGGGGAAAAAAAAAGAGAACAGACCCTTCCCTCCCCTCCTCCCTTCCCTTACACCTCTTGGGTCACACCCGGCTGCTCTTTTAGGAGAAAAGAGGGAAAAAAAGAAAAAGAAAGAAAATCGACTCCTTTGTTTCCTTCTCCTTTTGGGTCACACCTGGCGATGCTCAGGGGTTACTCTTGGTTCTACACTCAGGAATCCCTCCTGGCGGTGCTCGGGGGACCCTATGGGATGCCGGGGCGTGGACCTGGGTCGGCCGGTGCTGTGCTGTCGTTCCAGCCCCATCCCTGCATTTTTTTCTTTCAGTTTTCGAGCCCTACCTGTCTGTGCTGCAGGGTCACTCCTGGCAGTGCTTGGGGGTCTACTGGGATGCTGGGGATGGAAACGGGGCGGGGGGGTCCACAGGCAATGCAGCACCCTCTGCGCGGCGGCGCCATCTCTTGGCCCGCCTCCCACCACGTCCCAGGCGCCCAGGGCAGGGCCTCACCTGCTTCTTCTCAGAGAGCCTCTTCCTGGGGGCATCCTGGCGCTGGTCACAGCAGGGCCGGCCGGCAGAGAGTCGGAGGGGGGCGGTGGGGGGCCCGAGCACCCGGGCAAGCAGAGCGCAGTGCCCCAGGGGCCGGGGGCTCGCCGAGAGCAGCCGTGCAGGAACCATGGCCCTGCCCAAGTCAGAACGGCCAAGTCGGACGCTGGCTTGAGCCGGAGCTTCCCGCAGGAACTAAGGACGCGCGTGTGCCGAGCCCTGGCACTCGCGCCCGCATCTCCCGAGGCCGTGTGCTCTCCTGGCCGACAATGCTGGCACGTGTGTTGGGCTCGAGTTTTCTTGCTCCCGCCTTCCTCTTCCTAAAACACCCGAATAAAATCTGTCTTACTTAAAAAGAAACTACAGGATGTGCCTGGCACCTGGCGGAAGTTAGACCCCCCCTTTTTTTTCTTTTTGGGTCACAACCAGTGATGCTCGGGGCTTACTCCTGGCTCTGCACTCAGGAATTACGGCGGTGCTCCGGGGGATTATATGGGGTGCTGGGAATTGAACCCGGGTCGGCCGCATGCAAGGGAAACGCCCTGCCTGCTGTGCTACTGCTCCAGCCCTGGTTAGTCATTTTTAGACCAAATGAACGAGTCCTCCCTCAGTCTGCCTGACATGGACTCTGGGTGGCCACGGCCCCGCTGGCCCACCAGTCCTGGGCTGCTTCGGAGTGGCTGCGCCTGCCACCTCCCACCCTGCACTGAGGCAAGCTGGGGAGGGAGCGCAGGGGACCACTGGGCTTGAGGCCTGGAGCACCGCGGGGTGTGGCCCAGAACCAAGAAGCTGTCCGTGAAAAGGCGAGTTCATTGTTTTGTTTGCATTTTGGGTCACACCCCGCGTTGCCCAGGGGTTACTCCTGGCTCTGCACTCAGGAACAACTTCTGGCGGAGTTTGGGGGATCATCGGGGATGCTGGGGATTGAACCCGGGTCGGCTGCATGGAAGGCACACGCCCTCCCCGCTGCTTGATTACTCCGGCCCGAAAAGGTGAGCTCTTAAACACTCAAACACCGGCGCTGGAGAGAGCACAGTGGGGAAGGCGCCTGCCTGGCACGTGGCCAAACTGGCTTCAGTTCCCAACACTGCATACGGCTTGGCCTGAGCACGACCAGGAGTGACCCCCGGGCACAGAGCAGGAGTAAGTCCGGAGCACGGCCAGGCGGCCCAGAAGCAAAGAACCGCGCCAGGACAGCCCAGATGGCAGAGCAGAGCCAAGCACACGCGACGGGCTGCTCGAACCCTGCTGGGCGCAGGCCCTGCTAAATTTAGCAAGGCGGACTCCAGGCCCCGGGCAGCGCCTGCAGTCCGAGGGGCGAGGCGGGACTCAGAGAACAGCAAGGGGGGCGCTTTGGCAGCCGCTGCCCGTCTGCTTTGGCAGAGCACAGGCGGCACACGCAGGGCGGCGGAGGCTCTCCCCGCCAGCCGCCCGGGGACTGGGCCCGGCGCGTCCACGCAGGACTCCGTGCCCGCGAGGACACACGGACACACGGGGGGGCGGGGCTGTTCCTGGGGCGGTCGCTGCCTGCGGGGCGCTGCTGGGCGCACAAGGGGGTCCGGCCGGGCACAGGCTGGGGCGAACCGCCACTTGCCTTCCGGCCCCCGACCTTGTTTCCTTCGTGGGCGGGGGCCACGTCCTGCGGTGCTCTGGGGGGGCGTACGGGGGCTGGGGACGGAGCCTGCTGGCTCGCGAAGCGCCCGGAGCCCGCACCTGGCCAGCGCCCAGGGGTCGCCCCTGCGCCCCCTCCACCCGCGGGAATGCAGCCCCGGACGCGAGCGGGAAGCGCGTCCCGGCAGGAAGCAACTTGCAGAACCACCTGCTGGCCGGGGGACCCCACACCGCGCGGCCCCTCGGGCCCCCCGGCCCGTCCGCGCCCGGAACCCCGGGCCCCCGGCAGCCCGGCCCGCCCGGGCCCTCGAGGAGACGGACGCGCTCGGCCCCGGGCACGGGCGCCCGCGGCGGGGCGAGGCCAGGCCGGGGCCGCCCCCTCGGCCGTGTCGCGGGCCACGAGCCGCCCCGCCCCCTCCGCGCGCCTCGCGGGACCGCGGGCCACGCGCGCCGGCGGGGCTGGGGGAGGACGCCCCCCGCCCGCCCTCCTCACCTGCGCGGGGCCCGGCGGCGCACCGGGCGGACGTGACGTCACAGCCGCGCGCCGCGCCGGCCCCGCGCTTCCGGCGCCGTCTCCGCGGGCGCGAGGGGCGGGGTCGCGGGTCGCTAGCTCGGGGTGGGGGTGGGGGACGGGACGGACGCGGGCGGGGTGGAGGTGGGTGGGGAGGTCGCGAGCGCGGGGTGGGGGCGCGGGGTGAAGGTCGCGAGCGCGGGGTGGGGGCCCGTGGGGGGGCGGTCGCGAGCACGGGGGGTCGGGGGGGCCGGGGGGAGGTCGCGAGCTCGGGGTGGGGGGGGACGGACGCGGGCGGGGTCGAGATGGGTGGGGAGGTCGCGAGCGCGGGGGCCGGGCCCGTGGGGAGGTCGCGGTGGGGGGGGGCGTCCCGCGAGCGGCCCGGGTCCGAGGAAGCCAGGCCAGCCAGGCGGGTTTGAGGAACCAGTTTATTGGCAGATACACCCGCAGCGCAGGCCCACGCCGCGCACAGACGCCACGTTAAATAAACGTTCTGTTATTCATCATTAAATATATTAACACCGGGGAGCATGTATAAATTAAGAAATAAATGTATAAACTATCTCACAAAGTGCTTTTTAAAATATATACACAACATTCAAGAAATTCTTAATGTAAGACATTTCAGATTGAAGTTTTGGGATAAGTTTTTTAAGTGTCCTTTTCTTTCAAAAAGTATTATTACAGCACTGGCACACACACACACACACACACACACATACACACACACACACACACACATAAAAGGCATATTCCCAGATTGGCAAGGAATAAAAATAAACTATTTTCACAGTTACCTAAAATGTTTGACATTTTCAGTGGGAAAACACAGTCCCCAGTCGCATTTGCACATTACTTCTAAGAAAGTGGTCAGAAGGGTCCTGGGGGTCAGCTGAGGAGAAGGCACAGGAGTACCTAAGCCCTCACATGGTCGAGCACTGACTGGACATGGACGTACCTGGAAGCCCTTAGCAGCGTTCCACGTTCTGGAAACCCATCGGCCCACAGACACCCCGTGCCCCATCGGGGTCCAGCTGCTCCGGGAAGAGGGAGAGCCTGTCGCTGGACCCCGCATCACCTCCGCGTGGGCCTCAGTCCTGCACCGGCAAGGTGGGGACAGCCTTTGCCACCACGTCCCCCAGCATGGACCATCAGGATTCATTCAAGCAAAAACCCCAAAACACACGAAAATGCCTTGTAAACCTTGAAGAACATAAAAAAATTCAAACAGAAGATGTACCCATTAAAAAGCATCGCAGTCAACCCATTTTGTCCAAAACTGGCTATGTTTTGTTTTGTATTTTCTTGGTTGGTCTTGGATATATCTCAGCACTTAAAGGATTTGTAGTAAATATGGATATTATTAAGTAATATGTCCATATTTATTACTTTTGGAAAATAATAGGGTTTGACTTTTAACCGTAATTTTTCAAGTGAGCTGTCTTAAAAGTTTTGCATGGAATTTAAATATGATTTAACGTCCCAGGAATGTAAAACTCAAATTGATCTATATGAAACTCTTGTCGAGAGGAACAGAGAAATGTCACCAGGATTCTTCCTTGAAGGAAAGAATTGTTTATGTCCCTTGAAGAAAAGGAATGCTCGCTCGGACGGCTGAACACGTCATTCCTGGAAGAAATAATACACAACACACAAGCTGCCCGGTGACAGGGACGTGGCGCCAATACTTTAAATTATGAATTTAAAACCGAGATACTCAATTTTCAACCCCAAGATGACCATCAGACAAACAAGGGCCAAAGTCAAAGTAGTTCCCGAGAGTGACTCTGCTCTGGCCAGCCCGCGCTGACCCTCGCTTCACGATTCACAGTTCCTGAAATTAAATCAGTGATCCTTCCTTTTTTTTTGTAAGCAAAAGAGCTTTGCGGGGGTGGGGGGGAGGGCGAGAGGCAGTTACTGAGCAGAGCCGGGCAGGCAGGTGCTCAGTGCCACTGAGTGAAGGACCTGACGCGGCCACTCTGGACAGAAACCGACCTCGCTGCTCCTCTGCGCCTCGCAGGGGCTGCCACCGGCCGGACGCGGCGTCGCGGGAGGTAAGTTGACAGCCCACATACAACTGCCGAGGACAGCCAGACCCAAGGTCTGTTTTATGAACACACAGACTATGGCATTTGCGGAAATGTCCCATCTCTGGGCACAGAATACTTGGATGACGAAGGACCCCTAAAGCTAGCTAGAAACATCGAGAAGGGCGGACAGACACGGGCCGACCTCTCCGTCGTACGGACACAGAATACTATACACAGCACCAAGTCTGCCTCACCGCCAAGTGCCACCTCGCGCCAGCAGCACCCGGCCACGCCATCCTGCGCGAGCCGTGGGTGTGTCACGTCCACGCGCAGCGCTGTGCGGTCGGCTCGGCTCGGCTCAGCTCCGCTGCCACCCTCCAGCCCCTGCGGCACGTGCCATGCCCGGCTCCCAGCAGCCTGCGCCCTCCTTACTGCTGGTAGTTTCCGTACTGGCCCTGGAAGAGACCGAGCCTCGGGTCACGCCGGGAAGTCCCCAAGAGGAGACCCCGCGGCCCCGGGCCCTGAGCGTGTGCGTGCCCCCTCCCGGCACCCCCCGACACCTGAAGGTGCGTGCGCGAGTTTCCACGCTGCACATCCCGGACCCACCTCCACCCCCGACGTCCCCGGATCTGCCCCCGTCCCTGCACATCTCCCTGCCCATGGACCCTCCCGGACAGGACTCTAAGCCCCCTCCCCGCTCCAGGGCACTCACCACAAGAGGACCCCCTTCTCGCTCCAGGGTGCCGCCCTCCCCGCTGTGCGGATCAACGCTTCTCCCCCAACCGCCCGAGCCAACGGTCCCTGCTGCTCCCCCGAGGCCCTGTCCTGACCCCGCGGGCACAAGCCTGACCAGGGCAGGGTGGCCTCGGGGGGCCGGAGCAGGGAAGCCGCAGGCGCGCTTCAAGCTCAGAAGCCAGAGAAACCTGCCTGCTCGTAGCCGTAAGGCCGCTGCTGCTGGGCGGACGGGCCGCTCTGGGCCGCTCGGTAGCTCCCGTACTGCTGCCCTTGTCCTTGCTGGTAGCTGGGGTACTGCGAGGGGGCGCCCTGCGCCGGTCCTGAGAACGAGTGAAACACGCCCGCTCCAGTCCACACGCCACCGCCCCTAGGCAAAGGGGCCGCCCCCCTCACCCGCAGGCCCCCTGCTGCCCACGGACCAGCGACACAGGCGCACGCCCGAACTGACAGCGCACAGCAGACCTCAGCACACACCAGCTCTCATGGCACGCACTAGATCTCACCAGCACATGCCAGATCTCACGGCACATATCAGACCTCACAGCACATACCAGGTCTCATGGTACACACCAGACGTCACCGGCACGTGCCGTATCTCACGGCACATACTAGATCTCACAGCACACGCCAGGCCTCAGCACACACCAGATCTCACCAGCACACGCCAGACCTCACAGCACAGGCCAGTTCTCAGCAGTGCATAGGGGTGACGGGGCAGGCAGACCCTTGCCCAGGCGACCGCGCTGGGTGAGAACAGCCCCTGGGCGGGGAGCGCAGCCGAGGAGCTGGAGGCTGAGGGGAGAGCCACAGAAATGCTTGAAAATGCTACGGGGGGGTGGGGGGGTGGAGGGGGGGGTGGCAAGAGAGAGGCTGGGAGTAGAGGCCTGCGGGTGATCCACCCAGGTTGATCCCAGCCCCACGCTGCTCTCCCGAGCCCCGCCAGGAGTAACCACAGAGCACAGAACCGGGAGGAAGGCCTGAGCACAGCGGGGTGTGGCCCCAACAATGACAGCACAGGAGTGAGGCGCTCGCCTCGCCAACAGCCCGAGCTCAGCTCCCGGCACTGTCTGTGGTCCCCCAAGCCCCACTAGGCCACCCTGAGCACAGCCGGGCGTGGCCCAAAAGACAACACAAAAGCCTGCAGTAGTGGGGCCGGAGAGACACGGTGCGCAGGGCGCTTGCCTTGCACCTGGCCAGTCTGGGTTTCAGCGTCGCCGTCCCAGATGGTCCCCTGAGCCCGCCTGCCAGGAGCAAGCCCTGAGTACAGCCTCCGGCCAAAACAAACGGCAACTGTTCGTTCTGGGGCTGGAGGGACAGTGCAGTGGGCCAGAGACAGCACCTGCTTTGCGTGTGGGCGACACAGGTTCAATCCCTGGCACGACGGGAGCCCTGAGCACCGCCAAGTGTGGCTTCCAAGACCAAACACCCAAACGCCAACCGCGACTAGTGGCCAGTGAGATGCTCAAGGGACAGGAGGGCCCGCCGGGAGGCACTGCCCAGGGAGGGGCTGGAGCAATAGCACAGCGGGGAGGGCGCTTGCCTTGTGTGCGGCCGACCCGGGTTCAATTCCCAACATCCTAGGAGGTACCCTGCGCACTGCCAGGAGTATTTCCCGAGTGCGGAGCCAGGAGGAACCCCTGAGCATTGCCAGGAGTGACCCCGAAAGAAAAAAAAACAAAAACCAAACCAAAAAACCCAGGGAAGAATCGAATCAACTCATCTAAAACGCTCCTAGGAACATGCACAGAAGCCGAGAGAAATCTTCCAGTGTGCTCTTCCCCATGGTGAGCTGCCCACAGGCCTGCCGAGGGAAGACCCTGCACGTGACATGCAAGGACCCCAGCACCCAGATTCCCACGTCAGGAGGAGAGAGCCACCTCCGGAGGCCCCTGACATGCTGTGTGGAAGGGGGGTGGGGAGACGGCGACGAAACACCGCCGAACGCGCAGGACACACATGCCAGCACACATCCATCTACATCATGTACGTACGTGCACACTCCTAGCACTCACACGCGTGTATGTGGGGCCCATGGAAAGGCACATGCAGAGAGGCACACACGCAGGCACACGAGCACACGCAGGCACATAGACGCACACACACGCACACGCAGATATGCGTACACTCTTGCACATGGGCACACACAGACACACTCATGCACGTGAGCATGCACACAGGGACACGCAAGCAGGCGCACACACACAGGCACATACATTCATGCACACGGGCACACGCACACACACATGCGCATACACAGACACGCAGGCAGTGGCGTGGGCAGGGCCAGGCTGAGCCTCTGGGCGCTTCCACGAGCCCCTCCCTCTCCTGGAAGGCCTGGGTCAGGGCGGTCACTGCGGCCCTCGGCCTGGATAGCCATTCCCAGCAGCGGCAGGGAGATGGCGACTAGGCTGGAACCCGTGGGCAGACCACAGTCTGCCGGTGCTCCTGAAAAGGGGCTCCTCAAGGGGGTGGCCCCCAGCCAACGCACAGACACACAGACACACACAGAAGGCGTGGGCCAGGCCAAGGGTCCCCTCACCAGAGGACCCTGCGCCCCACTCAGCCCTGGCACAGCCACAGGGGGCCCTCGCAAAACCTTTCGCCGACCCCCCGGGGGCTGCCTGGGCCACTCACCGTAGCCCTGCTGCTGCCCGGGGTAGCCCTGCTGGCCGGGGTACTGCTGCTGGTAGCCCGCCTGCTGCGGGGCCGCGCCCTGCTGGTAGCCCGCCTGCTGCTGGCTGTACTGGGAGCTCCCTGCAAAGCCAAGGACAGAGCAGTCAGAGGGGGGAGGCCAGGCCCCTCCCTTGGCCCCTCCTGGTCCGGAAGGATGCGAGGAGAAGGCGGATACCCAAATTACACCAGGGCCAGGCCAGCTCACCGGGCCAAGAGCAGGCTTTCCCGTGGGGGCCGGGCTGGACCCCCGTTCCGCCGAGGATGTCCACCGGGCCCAGCCAGGACTGGCCCCAAACCGCCAGGAGCAGCGTGCAGAACCGTGTCCCCCCAATTGGACGCCTCTGCTGTACCCCGGTGCCACCCCAACTCTCCTTCCGGTGGTGCCCACCCCGCAGTGCTCATGGGTCCTGTGGTGCTGGGGTGTGAGCTCTACCACTCAGGCCCCATCTGCAGCCCCCTGGAGAAGTGCTCCAGGGAGAGGTGTTGCTGGGAGGGGCCACGAGTGGTCCCAGAAGCAGCCCAGAAGATCCGTGGCAGACACGGGCCTTGTGGCCTGGACCCACGATAAGGGGCCGCCGGGCCGTGCTGGAGGCCGAGGGCCCAACCCCAGACACTACCCACCCGCAAGCTGCGGGACCGCGAGTCCATGGGCAGAGTCCCCGGCGCACATGGGGCTGCGTGTCCACGCACATGGAACTATGCGTCCGCACAAAGCCCACCTGCGTGTGGCTGGCGTGCTCACACGCGGAGCACCGGGGCAGCAGGCCCCGTGAGACCTTGACATTCAGGCTGCACGTGGCCACGGGCACCATCCCTGGGGGACCTGAAACTCGCGGCTGGGACCCGCCCAGTCTCGGCTGGTTAGTGGGACCAAGGGCGAGCAGGTCCTGAGACCCCCACGGGCCGTGAAGCCCACAGCCAGTAGGCGCCTCCGGAGGAAAGTTCCGGAAGCGCCGCCCGCCCTGGGTGTGGGCCCCCGCTCTTACCGCCCTCGTAGTAGTGCTGGGTGGACTCCTCGAAGGAGCGGTCGTAGCTCTGCTCCGTGTAGGGCGGCTGCTGGTAGGCGTACTCACTGTGCCCTGCGGGCAGACGGGCGTCAGCGGGGCACGCGCCCCGCGCCCTTCCCCCAGAGGACGCGGCCCCGGCAACAGGGCGGGAGGACTCAAGGCCAGGCCCAGGGCCGGGCCGCTCACCGTCGGGGTAGTACTGCTGGCTCATGGGCTCCGAGGCGGCCTGACCGTGGCCGTACTGCTCGCCGCTGTAGTACTCCTCCTGGCCCAAGTACTGCTGGGAAGAGCCTGCGGGGAGGGGCCACACCTCTCAGGGCGCTGCTCCGAGGAGCCCTGGGCCCCAGGGTGGGCACCGGCCGGCCCGGCCCGCCTTCGGGAAGGCCCAGCTGGAGGACCGGGAGCCCCGAGCCCGGCCGGGGCAGTACCTTGCTGCGAGGGCCGGTACGGCGCCAGGGGCCGCTGGCTCATCAGGCTGCTGCCCTGCCCGCCGGGGCCCATCATGGCCAGGGCCGGCTGGTTCTGGTAGTGCTGGCCTCCGCCCTGCGCCGAGCTGTAGTGGGACGAGGCTGCCTGCTGGTGCATCATGGACACTGGGGGACGGACAGGCCCGGGTCAGCCACCTGCAGGCTGAGTCCCGTGTACCCCTCCCCCCACACATGGCAGCCCCCTGGCACCAGTACTGCTGCCTGGTGCTGCATTCCAGGTTCCTGGGGCTCCGGGCAGAGCCGTGCGCCAGTGCTGAGCTCTCCACCTGGCCCCTGCACCAACCCGTAAGCCGCTCCCCGATCGGGAAACGCCGGGCAGTGCCAGGCGCCACCTCAGGCCCGGCCCGACTCTCCAGGTGCCGAGACGCGGCCTTCCCTCTGCACAGCTGGACCCCGCCTGCCCGGGTCTTGGCCCCCACCCACTGGCCTGTCCCTGCAGTGCCGTCCACACAGCAGGAGACGCAGCGCAGGCACGACCAACACGTCTCGTCTACACTGCCGGCCAGGGTGCGGGTCCCAGCAGCTCTCCGCGGCTACCTGGGTTGGACTGCATGTTGATGTTGGCCCGGGACACGTAGCTGCCCATGGCGCCCTGGCCCTGCAGGGACACGCTCTGCGAGGGGCCCGCGTGGCTGTAGCCGGGTCCCGAGCCGTGGCCGCTGCCCGACATGCTCATGGAGGTGGTGGGCAGCGTGCTGGGCGCCGTCTGCTGCATGGGCACGTGGTTGGGGCCTGCGGAGGGACGGGGGCTGTCACGCGGCCGGCCTGGTCTTCCCGCACCAACCCTGCGTCGCGCCTCCGAGGAGCCCTGAGGACACCCCGCTGGGCACGGGCACTCACCGTTGCCGATCTGGCCCTGCATGAGCGAGGCCGCAGGCAGGCCGGAGCCAATGGCGTCGCTGAGGCTGCCCTGGGCATGCAGGCCCTGGCCGGAGGCGCCCTGGGGCAGTGCCCCGGGACCCAGGTTCATGCTCTGGGTTGGCGGCTGTGGGTGACAGGAACAGGAACGGTGTGGGTGCCTGAGGACCCATCACGTCCACCCCGGGCCGACCACACGGTTGGGGACGCAAGGTGGGCTCCCCCGATCCAGTTCCACAGGCCTGCCCCCCCACTGGTCACATACCACGAGACACTGTGTCCCTGAACCTTAGCTGCCCTCGGGGGCTGGGGTGCCCGGGGGCGGAAGTGCTGGCAGGCCCACCCGGGCTGGTGCTGACCTCCGCTCAGGCCCCAGGAGCCAGAGGGAGCGGAGCGGGGCTGCCCCTGCCCCTGGACTGTGGAACACATGCAGGGTCAGCCTTGGATGGCTGGGGGTCATCCCCGACATCCTCGGGGGGCCCGAGTCCACCAGGAGTGAGCCCCAAGCACCACTGGGTGCGGCCCCAAAATAAAAAGGAAAAGTCAAAGAAGGACCGGTTTCTCCGGACGCTTGCCAGGCCCCGTTCCTGCTGGAGCCCCGCTGCCCCGGGGTCCCAGCTCCCCCGACTCACGGCGGGCAGCAGGGACTGCATGTTCTGGTTGGAGTCCGCGATGGTGGCCAGGTAGACCAGGTTCCGGTGCAGGGCCTGCTGGTACCTGTGGGGGGAGTCGGGCGATTACCCCGGGCGGGGTGGGTGGGGGGAGACCCTGCGGGCGGGGGGGGCGGGCACTCACTGGGTGCACTCGGCCGTCTTGCCCTTGCTCTGGTACTCCAGGATGCACTGGATCAGGTGGTGGTTCTCGTCCAGCATCTGGAGGAGGACACGCGGGTGACGCAGCCGTCTGGGGAGCCTCCGTGCGAGGCGACCTGCGCCCGGCGGGGGCCAGCTCCACGCAGCCACGGCAGGGACAGGCCTGGTGAAGAGCCCGAGGGGACGGGGGCCACGGCAGGAGGGCAGTGGCCTCGGGTGGGGGGTCCTGGCAGGCAGGGCTGGCGGGAGGGGCAGTGACACTGACTGTCCAGTTACTGACAGGTCCGGGGTGGGCCTGCCTGTGGCCAGTACAGCAGGGGGCCGCAGGGCGTGCCTGGCCGCGTGGGCCTCCACAGGGCCAGGGCTGCTGTCTCCTCCGTCAGGCGGCCCCTGAGCAGCACTGAGATGGAGCCGGGCCGGGAAGGGCACTTCCAGCCCCTCAGGCTGCTTCTCTCTCCCCTTTGCACCCCAAGTTGCTGCTGCAATGGCTGGGGGGGGTCCCACAGGCCGGCGGCCGCAGGGGTCCAAGTACACCCCCTGCCAGTCCCACCCCAGCTCCGCACTTCCCGCCACACGCCGGCTGGCGCTGCAGGGACCCGCCAGAGCCGCGTGAGGAGGCGGGGCAGCAGCCGCGGGGGCCGCGGCAGAGAAGGAGCAGAGTGTCCCAGGCAGCACGGGTGGCGGCCAGCTCTGCAGGGACAGATCCAAGGCCAGGGTGGACACGAGGCACGCAAGGTCCTAGCAGCCAGGCAGGAGTCACAGAGGCCAGGAGCAAAGCCCAGCGGCACCTCAAAGGAGCAAAGGCCGCAGAGCCGTGCTTGGAGCCGGACCCGCCTGTGGGGATGGCACCCAGGAGAGTGGACGGGCCCTCAGGCCCCACTCCAGCCGGGCAGCGCCTGCAGCCATCGTGGAACATTCCAGAGACACGTAGATGGAACATGCAGAGAACACAAGGAGACATGCGCAGAGCAGGCGGGAGACAGGCAGAGAGCACGTGGAGACAGACATGCACTCAGGCAGCACCTGGGCAGCACGCAGTGTGGGGCCCCTGGGCAGCTCAGAGTGGCAGCAGGCAGAGCTCCATGCAGCCGAATCCCGCGGCAAGCAGAGGGGAGGCCTGGGGGCTCCGAGCCCCCCTCCCGGGGGAGCCCCTGAAGCTCCTTACAGAGCTGGACACTGGCCTTTGCAGAAAACCCTGCACCAGGGAGATGCTACAAAGGGCCACACCTGGGCCCCGCAGCACCCCGGGCAGGAAGCAACCCCCAAGCCACGGATGCGGCCCAGAAACCCCCACCAGGGAGCGGGGCGGGAGGGACAGGGAGACAGCCACGGGACGGCAAAGCCTGAGCAAGGAGCTGTCGGGCCAGGAGAGTGTCCGTGGGAGAGCGGCTGGGCTGGGCTGCTGGTGTGGCCCCCCAGAAGACAAGAGGAAGCCAGGCCTTCATCATGGAGACGGGAAGGGGTCAGTTCAATGGGAAGGGCGCCGGCTGCGCTCGTGGCCGATGTGGGTTTGCTCCCTGGTACTCCAGCGTCCGCTGAAGCCCAGCGGCGATGCCAGCACAGAGCCAGGAGCACCACCGGGTGTGTCCCCAGAACAGAAAAGAAACAAGAAGTCGCAAAGAGGTGCTCTTGGAGCCGCCAGGCTGGGTGCTGGCTCCTGCCTGGCAGTGACCCATGCTGCCGGCTGCGGTCTCTGAGTGTGGCTTCCGGGGACACAGCTCTGCACCCCGTGCGGGTCAGGGGGCACGCAAACTGCTGTGCCTCTGGCCTCAGCGCTGGGGGGCTAGAGGTCAGCAGAAAGGGCATGGCGGCAGAGGGGCTGCCCGGGACCCGACAGGAAGGGGTCAGCTGGGACTTGGTGGGGCCCTGAGCGGAGATGGGCAGAGGCATGGCCCTGGCACCAGGGTGCGCAGACACTGGCACTGCTCCTTCCTCTGCCGGAGAGGAGCTGGGAGGGGACAGACTTGGAGGGCTGCTCGGGCAGACTCAACAGCAGCCTGGCGACATGGGCAAGGCGTAGGGTGTGTCCAGCCCTCACCAGAGCTGCCCGGGGCCTGCGGCACCTCCACGGGACACAAGGCGACCCCAGAGACCCCAAGGCAGCACAGGTGGCGAGAGCGGGGGCCACAGTCTCAGGGCACACCCTTGCATGTACGCAGACAGACACACACACATGCTCAACGCACACACAAGATGCACAGACGTTCACTGACACGCACGGTCCTGAGTGTTATGCGGGAAGACGGGCTGACTGCTCACGGGGCCTGCCCGCCCGCCTGCCCGAGGAAGGAGGGCCGGGGGGTACCAAGACAGCGCCCACAGCCTCTGCCGCGAGGCGCTCCAAGGTCAGCGCTGGAGCTTCTGGCCCTCCGAGTCACCAGGGCGGCCCCTCGGGCACCGCCGCTAACTATGCTGGGCGCTGCGCCAGGCTGCGGGCTCAGCTCCGGGCCTCCAGCAGGACTGCCCAGGGGACCCGGGGGAGGCGGCATTGAAGGGGGCACCCACATTGAGTACCAGTGTGCCAGGGTGAGGGCAGGTGCCGGCTCCCCACTCCTCACGCCAAGCTCACCAGTGCGGGCCCGGGAAAGAGGCCTGGACGCAGCCAGACCCCCGGGGACACGGTCAGGGGTCCAAGGCGGGCTGGGACGGCCAGGCTCAAGTGCACACGGCTTGGCCTGGAGAACTGGGGGAGGCTCTGCGGAGGGGGTGAGTGCGCGGGCCAGGAGGGCGGCCGGGAACAATGGATGCTCCGGGGAGCAGGAGCGAGTGTCCGGGCCGGGCGGACTCGGAGCCCTGCTGGCCGGCAGGTCCCTCGGCCTCGGCGTTCAGCCCCTGCCCGTTCTCCAAGGGACGGCCAGTGCACTTCGGCTGCGCTGCGGCCTCCGGGCCCCTCCCGGCCCAACAGCCCTCGGAGCAGCGACAGCCACGGCGGGGGGACCCCAAGTCCAGGCGGGGCTGCCCCTCGCGCCCCCAGGAGAGGCTGGAGAACGCCCGACGCGCGGCCGGCTGCGGGCTTTTGTCGCAGGCGAACCGAGCCCCACGCGCGTCCTCCGCAGCAGGGGAGAGCCAACTTCCAGAACCTTCCCGGGAGCGCGGGCGCGAGGGGTCACACCCTTGGGGCGCCCGGGCAGGGCGCGGGGCCGCCGGGACGTCCCGCCCGCGCGCGCGCCCCTTTGTGCGGGGCCCGCGCTGCCCCGCCGACAGGTGCGCCGGGCGCGGCTGCGGGACCCGGCGCGCGCCCCCCGCGGCCCGCGCCCCGCGCCCGCGCCCCGAGGGGGCGGGTCCCCGCGCGCCCCCGCGCCCCGCCGCCGCCGCCCGCGCCCCGCGCCGCGGCCGTCCAGCCGCGCGGCCCCGGCTTTGTTCGCGCCCGCGCCCCGCGCCCGCCGCCCGCGCCCCGCCCGCCGCGCCGCCCCGCCCGCGCCCACCTTCTGGATGGTCTGCTGCGTGACCTCGCCCTTGCCGCGGGGCCGCGCGGACGCGAAGGCCACCGACATGGTCGCGGCGCGGACTCAGCCCCCGAGCGTCGGGGCCGCGGCTCCGGCTCCGCGCGCTCGGCGGCCCCGGGCGCTCATGCTCCGCCGCGCGGGGGCCGCGCGCGCGGGGGGCGCCGCGCCGTGGGCTCGCCCGCGCCGCGCCGCCGCCACGCGCCCCGCGCCCGCCGCGCCGCCGCCCCGCGCGCCGCCCGCGCCGCCGCCCGCCCGCGCGCCGCGCCCCGCCGGCCGCGCCCCGGCCCGCGCCCCGCCGCCCGCCGCGCCGCCCGCCGCCCCCCGCCCGCCGCGCCGGTGGTTCGGCCCGGCCGCGCCCCGCCCGCGCCCGCCCCCGCCCGCCGCGACGTCACCGCGCGCCGCGACGTCACCGCGCCGCCCGACGCGGCCGCGCTGCGGGGCGGCGCTGCGGGCGGCGGGCGGGCGGGCGCGCCGCAGCCGTGAGTGTGCGCTTTTGGCCGCGCCGCCGCCGGCATGAGCTACGACCGCGCCATCACCGTCTTCTCGCCCGACGGGCACCTCTTCCAGGTCGAGTACGCGCAGGAGGCCGTCAAGAAGGGCTCCACCGCGGTGAGCGCACCCGGGGCCGCGGGCCGGGCCGGGCCGGGGCGCGCGGGCCGGAGGCGGACGCGGGCGGGCGCTGCGCGGGGCGGGCCGGGAGCGCCCCTCGCCGGGCGGCCGCGCGGCTGCGGGAGCCCGAGCCGAGCCCGAGCGCGCCCGGCCGGCCCCCGCGCCTCCGCCGCTCGCCTTTGTCCCCGCGCGCGGCGCAGCGGCGCCGGCCCGAGTCCCGGGCCCGTGCGCGCTTTTGCTTTTGGTTCTGCCCCCTCGGACGCCCGTCCCGGGGAGCCCAGCGGGCGTGGCGCCGGCCCGCCCTGTCCCTCGAGCTTCGCTTTGGCGTGGGGAAGCCAAGGTCTGCGACGGCGGCCCGAGGGCCCCTGCCCGGCCCCGCGCGCACGCGCCCCCGCCCGCACACGCCGCCCGCGTCCGGCCGCGAGGAACGAGACGAAGGCGGAAACCCCAGGAGCCCGGGCGCGTGCGCGGGCAGCCGCGGGTCTGGGGGGCCCAGCTCGCCTTCGCGCTGCTGAAACTGGCCCCCCGTTGCCACCCACCCGGGGGCCTTGGACTCGCGCTTACGCCCGGGGCCGCACTTGCCCTGCTCCGGGCTCATTCCGGGGGAACTGTCGAGGACTTTATGGGCTCTGGGGGTCCAGCCCTGCTCCCCTGGGTGCCAGGCAAGTGTCCTACCGGGTTGCTCTGACTCTCCGGTTGTTGACGGTGTCTCCGGCGCTGCCCGCCTGGGCGCCTCCCTTCAGTCGCTCCCCTCTGTCCCGTCCGCAGGTGGGCGTGCGGGGGAAGGACATCGTGGTCCTGGGGGTGGAGAAGAAGTCCGTGGCCAAGCTGCAGGATGAGCGGACCGTGCGCAAGATCTGCGCGCTGGACGACAACGTGTGCATGGCCTTTGCGGGTGAGTGTGGCAGAGGTGGCCGCGGGGGTGGGGCACCTTCTCAGTAAGAGCCCCCGTCCTCAGGAATGTTGAAGTCTGGCTCAAAGCGAGCACAGACTCTGCCCCGAGGGAACGCAGGCCAGGGGCCCGCTCTGGGCTGGACATGGGCTTTGCCTGTGGGGGCACTGGCTGCTGCTGGCCGCTGAGTTTGAAGTGGTCAGCGGGGCCTTTCCTGCCACGGCTGCTCCTGGGGGTTGGAGACGCTTGTGCCCAGCGTGGGGGAGGCAGCTGTCAGCACTGCCCATGCCTTACCGCAGGTCTCACCGCCGACGCCAGGATCGTCATCAACAGGGCCCGGGTGGAGTGCCAGAGCCACCGGCTGACCGTGGAGGACCCGGTCACCGTGGAGTACATCACCCGCTACATTGCCAGCCTCAAGCAGGTGAGCGTCGCTGTCTGTGCTCTGTGCTCGGGTCGCCGGGTCCTCCCGAGAGCGTGGAGGCCTGGACGCGTGTTGTCGCTTCGTCCCTAACCTGGACCTTGGGAGGCGCGGCTCAGGGATCCGGCCTTTGCCTTCCGTGCTTGGGGCCCTGGGTTTCCTTTCTGGGCCGCCTGGAGCCCAGGAGCCCTGCCTGTGTGGGAGTGAGACCCAGCCTTTCCCGGCAGCGCTACACGCAGAGCAATGGGCGGCGGCCCTTCGGCATCTCGGCCCTGATCGTGGGCTTCGACTTTGACGGCACCCCGAGACTCTATCAGACCGACCCCTCAGGCACCTACCATGCCTGGAAGGTGAGTGCGGGAGGTTGGTCCTCGCGGCCTGGGGCCCAGGTGCGTGAGGCTGCAGTGGCCCTGCAAGGTCCATGTGTTTTAGGCTAATGCCATCGGACGGGGTGCCAAGTCCGTCCGCGAATTCCTGGAGAAGAATTATACGGACGAAGCCATCGAGACGGACGATCTGACCATCAAGCTGGTCATCAAGGCCCTCCTGGAAGTGAGTCTGCGTGTGGGTTGGGGGGGGCGGCGTGTGCCAACTGGGGCGCAGGGGTCTGGGCTGTGTGGGGTTGGTGGGTGGGTGTGCCCAGACGCCCACGGGGCTTTCTCCCTCCAGGTGGTCCAGTCAGGAGGCAAGAACATCGAACTGGCTGTCATGAGGCGGGACCAGCCCCTCAAGGTGACCGGGCTGCGGGGTTGTGGGTGCCCTGGGTTCTGCCCTAGCATCAGGCTGATTGCAGACTTCCCTTTCACAGATTTTAAATCCTGAAGAGATTGAGAAGTACGTAGCTGAAATTGAGAAAGAAAAGGAAGAGAACGAAAAGAAGAAACAGAAAAAAGCATCGTGAGGCATAAATGTGCTTGTGGCGATTTTTTTTAAATTAAATCATGGTTTCACAGAACGACATGCAGCTGCTGTCTGCCCGGGCGTCCGGTGCCCTCAATAAAGTCCATGTTTTCTAGCCTTGACGCGTCTGGTGTGACGGGAGACCGCCTCCCCGGGTGGTCTCTGAGCTTCGTGTCCGGGTACTCCCCTTCCCCCCGGGGCTGAGCCCAGTTGGTCTGTGGCGTCTCCGGCTCAGATGCAGCTTGACTGCTGCTCTTCCTGCCCTTAGTTCGTCAAGTCTCTGGAGGGCGGGAAAGATCCAAGACGCACCGCCGCCTGCAGCTGCACGACACAATCCCTGATCAGACTCCACAGTGGGTGGGCACAGGCCCCCGGGGCCCCCAACCAGCCACTTCTCAGGGAAGACACCGGCCCGGAGACTCCTAAGCTGCCGTGAGCTGTGGCGGCTGGCTGGAGTCTGGGCCTGGGCTGACAGAGGCGGCCTTGGGGCCCGGCATGGGACTTGGTGCCGCCCACAGGGAGTGCAGATTCCTCAAAAGGCGGGTATAGTGGTCCAGGGCCAGCCTTGCCCGTGGCGCATCTGCGTTCGAGCCTTGGCAGAGCCAGGTGGCAGTGTGGTATGGTTATGGCACCGCCCGTAAGAACCACGCAGGCTTGAGCTCTGCGCACATTCCAGCGCTGACGGCAAGTGTTTATCGCGGGCCAGGGGCTGAAGCACTAGGACAGGGTTGGGCACAGGCTCCGTGCCCCGACTCTCACCATGGGTCACGTAAGCCCTGCACGACCCCCCCCCACTCCCTTTCCAAAACAAAGTGCCCTGTTGCACAGGAAGGCAAAAGGATAATTAGTGCTTACTGGAAAGGAAAAATGAAAGGTGCTGGGTCAGCTGGGCAAAAGGGTCATTTACAGCTGGATTTGGAAGCTCAAGACTCCCCAAATGGCCAAGAACGCTGAGAGCCCACTCTGGGGTCTCTGCTGGCCCCTACATGGAGCAAGGGCCCTGGCTGGGCTGTGCTGGTGGGGACCATGTGGGGGTCGGACTGCTGCAGCCCACCAGCTCTTTCCCTGGTTCCTCCAAAGGTAGAGACCCACCCAGCTTAAGGCCCAGGTTGGGTGTTAGCTGCCGCACTTAATGATTTGAACAGTCGGTGATTGGTGCCGGCTGCAGTCACCCGTTGCTGGTCAGTGCCCAGCTTCCTGTGGCTGGCACTGCGCCTGCATCAGGTCCTGGCAGCCTCACCAGGTGTCGCGTGGGCCCGGGCCAGCCCAGCCGTGTGCACCGAGAACACGAACGTACTAGGGACCGGTGTGCACCGTGTTGGGGCCACCCCTCCCCCCAGCCCCTGCTGTGAGGTGGCGAAGTGAGTTGGAGACACAGCCCGGGGCCTCGAAGTTTGCGCGTTTATTGGTGATGACAGCCCACCCCCAGTCCAGCAGCAGCCCGCCAGGCTCGAACCTGTAGCCGCGAAGCCTACAAAAATAAACCCAAGCTTTTACAGTGACGGAATACCAACAGAAACCTTCATCGCTAGTGGAAGGGGTGTGGTTACCAAGGTGCTTATTTACGTGGACACGATGCCTGCCAGCAAAGAACGCATGCTCAGCCTCCGGTGGGACCCAGCCCGTCTCTCATGCAGCGAGCCCCCCCCTCCCCACCCCGTCAAACCAAACAGAACTATGTACAACTGAGAAGAGCCTCGGTCAGCCGACCTCGCACCACAGACGGGCTCATTTCCAAGTGGACAAGACACTGACCAGGACTCGGCAGAGTCCAGCACTGAGTGGCCCTGGTGAGGGCCAGCTGGATGGGGGAGGACAGGGACGCCGAACAGGGCCCGTCCGGGCTGGTTCTCCCCCACCGTCAGGGCCCCTGCTTGGACATCGCCAGCGGGGCCCCGGGGGGCCGGAGGGGCCTGGTTCCCTTCTGTAACATGATCCACGGGACACACCACCCTCCCGGCCACCAGGTGCCGCGGGCTCCCAGACCCCACCACCGCAGCAGGGGGTGTCGGGCCAGCAGGGCTTGAGACGTGCTCGGCCGCCTCCGCCAAGTGCCATCTGGTTCACGTCGAACTGGAGCTGTCAGGGAGTCGCAGACTGAGTCCAGCTCCACTCTGGAGACCTGCGGACCCAACCCCAGAGTCAGGGGCGCAGCCTGGACACCCCAGGTGAGGCCCCGCAGCATGTGGGTCCGACCCGGACCATGTCCAAGTCCAGCCAATTCGAAACGTGAGAGCAGCGTGGAAAGTCTCCGGCTCAGGAGAACGGGCGGGCCAAGCGCCCTCGGTGCGGCCTCGCTGCTGTGCTGCTTCAGCGGGACCCTGCGGGGCAGACGGAGACGTGACCTGCTGTCCCCCGGTCTTCCACAGAGGACAGGCTGGCCCCGTGGAGCCTCGGCATTCTCCCCTGACCCCAGCCACTCACCGGCCGCCGCAGCATCACACTCTGCCGGTCCCCGCCCTGTGGGACGCGGGGTTGCGGCGGGCCGTGCCATTGCCCCTGCCCCCTCGAAATCCACCCCGGAAGCTGCGTCCTCGGAGGAACCGTCCCGACACCCCGAAGGTTTCCGTGTTGAGCTTCCGCTCCTCAGCCCATGTGGTTCTCCTGGAACTGAAGCGAGGAGACGGGGGAGTGGGGAGGGGGCGGCAGGGGAGGACCGAAGGACAGCGCGGAGCCGAGCCCGCTGGCACCGTCCCCGAGGTCGACACGTCTGACCGCGCTCCTCAAAGGAGGGGGTGTGGCCGAGACGGGGCAGAGACCGTACTCGGGAAGGGGCTCGCCTTGACTCCCGACACCCTTACACCAGCAAACCCTGACAACCGCCAGCTGTGTGCTGTGGGCAGTCCAGAACCTTCCAGCCAAGACCCCCGCAGCCTACAAAGCTGCCCACCCTCCCTGCCCAGACAGCGGGCCCGAGGAAGCCCGGCAGCTCCCCCGCGGCCAGCCTGGCCCTGCCGGACCCACGGCTGGGCGCACCTGCTCTTGAGCTCCGAGGAGATGTTGTCGAAAAACGACTTGGACTTGTCGTAGTAGCAGTTAGGGCCCAGGTGGGCATCTTCCGCAGGGACCTCATCACTCTGCGGCACCACTGCCTGGTCCTTCTCTTCCCCCGTCTCGGTCTTGTCATCTGGGGGGGGGGATATCTGAGGGTCCCGAGAGCAGACCAAATTTCCCTGGGCCTGGCAGACCCTCCCAGGTCACTCGGCGAGCTGCCCCCCGGGACTCACAGGCTTTGTGCTCAAGATTTCCCCGGGTGCCCCCAGGTCTGTGACTCCCACTACTCTAGATCCTGCTGGCGGCCTCTGCCCTGCCCTCTGGCCACCCCGCAGGGCCACAAACCTTTGAAATTCAGCTTCTTCTTGAACTCCTTGTCCAGTTCCTCACGGTTGAACTGGGCGTTCGCGCTCTCAAAGTCAAAGTCGCCTTCAAACTTGATGGTGTTCTCCTTGGCATTGGTCGGGCGGCTTTGCCCTCTGGAGCGGTTTCGGGTCCGCCGATTCCCTACAGGAGAAAGGCCCGTGGCCGGTGAGCTGGCACCCGGCACCCAGAGCGCAGCCAGGCGCCAGGGGCTGCAGCGCTCACCTGATCTCCTCCTCTGAGGCCTCCTGTTCTCGTCATTCACCTGCCCCTGGCCCTGCGTCTGCACAGCTGCCGGCTGAACGGCATCTAGGGCGCGAGAGGGAGCGAGTCAGGCACCCACCTGCCAGCGGAGCCCGCCCGGACACAGGCAGCAGGGGGAAGGCTGGGCGCGGCCGGCGGGGCAGTACCAGCGGCCGGCTTGCTGCCGGACTGGGCCGGGCGGCCGTTGAGCTGCGCGGCTGAGGTGCCCTTGGCAGGTACCAGCTTCTTGGCCGTCAGGTTGTCCACGGAGCCCGTCTGCACGGCCTGCTCCACCATGGGGCTCTTGCCCACGGGAACGGCAGGAAAGCCAGAGCCTGTTTGGGGGAGGCAGGTGTGAAAGGAAGGAGGCCGCCGCACCTTGGCGCCCCCTCTGCCTGGCAGAGCCCAGCGCAGGTCCAGCGACCCAGAGCAGCGGCCCTGCCCGGCCGCCCTCTGCCTGCCCCAGGGCAGTCAGGCCATGGGCCCACGAACAGGGAGGGCCGCGCCCAGCGAGCCGTGCCAAGGTGGGGCTGACCCACACGCTCCCGGCACCAGGGTCCAGCCCACAGGCTCGCGCTGGCCCAGGGCGGGGGGTTCTCCGACACGCAGCGGGGGCCTTCCCCGGGGGAGCCCTTGCGCCCCAGCTGAGCCGTGGGTGGAATCGGGGCGCTCCCCTCTCCTCACGTTCAGCCCGCACTGCAACACCACACCGGCTCTCTCGGCCGAAGCAGGCTGACACCCAGGCCTGAGAGCCACCCAGCTGTTCAGGACGGACGCTGGCATTCGGGGCGGCGGGGGAGGGGCGCAGCAGCACGGGACCCGAGAGGGGGCACCCACGCTCACGTTCCCTGTCACGCACAGGAAAAAGCCCAGTGCTCTGACCAGCACAAATTCAGCTGGACAAGCAGCACCAGGCCCCCTGCCGCCCCTGGGGAGGCACAGCCTCACCACCATCAGCAGCCAAGGAGCCCTAAGGGCACGTCCCCCGCAGGTGCCACTACTTGGCAGACTGGGTGCGCCCCCCCAACACAGAAGCACCAGGCCGCTGTCCACCTGCTGCCAATTGGAGCTTCCCCTGGAAACACCTGCAGCCCTGAGGCTGGCACCTGGGGCCCGCAGGGGGGAGGGGCGGAGGCACTCTTGGTGAGCTCTGCCACCTGCCGACGCCCAGGAATGCTCCCCGGGGCCGGGAGCGACGGGAAGCTGGCATCACAGCTGGACGCCTGTCCCCCCTGTCCCGGGACAGCTGGCAGCCCGCATGCAGTTCTCCAAAACTGCCGTTACCCTTGCAAGTGAGCGGATGTGGCTCTGAGGACAGGTCAAGCTCTGAAACGGGCTGTGGAGATGGAGAGGAGCTAGGGCTGGAGGCGGCGGCTGAGGCCGGAGGGCTCACCAGCTTCTCTGAAGGAAGACAGGAGAGAAGAGCACAGCACAGTGAGTGACGGTCGCGCGGCCTCTCACGGGACACCCGGCTCGCGCACGCCTGCTCTGCCCACGGCGGGCGGGGGCCGGGCCCCCCGAACCGCACCCCAGACCTCAGTACTTGGAAGGCGAGTGACTCGCAGAACCTGTTGAGGGCCTGGCCCAGCCCCCGGGGGAGGCGAGCACGGCGACAATGCCCGTCCACTCCGGGACAGGGCTCCACCAGTGGCCACCCAGCGGGCACTCAGCCCCGGACCGACGGAAGACCACGAGACGCAGGGAACTGCAGCATCTGCGTCCCGCTCGCCTGGGCTCACAAACTCGCCGGGAGAACTCATCCGGTGGCCATCTCTGAAACCGACGCAGCGCGGCCTGCTGCCCAGCTGCGGTGCCGCTGCTCCACGGAATTCTCCTCCGACCAGGCTGCAGCTGGGAGCCCTCCACCCAGCAGGAAGTGCCCGCTCGGAAAGACGGGCCCCCGCGGTACTCACCGAGGCCCAGGGAGGCGGCGTACTGCTGGCTGAGCAGGGAGCTGGCGGCCAGCTGGCTGTAGGGGGGCATCCCGCGGAAGGGGCTGTAAGGCACGTGGGGCTGGAAGGAGGCGGCCGGGGCCGAGCCCAGGGAGGACTGAGCGGAGACAGAGAGTGAGTGCCTGCCCCTTCCCCAGGCCAGCCCCCGCCAGCCCCTCGCCCGGGGCCGAGGCTGGGAAACTGCGCGCAGCCCCTCGCCCGCTTCCCGACCCCGATCTGTCCACCTTTCCCCCTCTGAAGCCGCCTGCGTAGGTCCCCGCTGGGGACCCGGCTCGGACCAGAACTCTGCCTGCGGGTCCTCTGCAGCCCCCCAGAAGCGCCCCGAGCGGCGGAACATCCACGAGGGGCACCGCGCAAGGCCGGGAGCCGCCAAGCCCCTAGCCCGGCACGGCGGCCCCGCTCGGCCCCGTCCCCGGGGGCCCAGCCCCCGCCCCGCCGCACCTGCCCGCGGCCCTTTGTTCTCCTCCCGGCGCACGCAGCGGCGGCCCGGGGTGGGGGCCTGCGCCTCCCGCCCGCGCGCCCCCCGCCCGCCCGCCCGCCCGCCGACCTGCACGATGGCCGGGTCCTGGGGCAGCGCGTGCGGCGCCTTGGGCGGCTCGCACACGGTGATGTCCTTGATGTCGCTGCCCCGGAAGATGATGTACTCGTAGACCTCCTCGCGCGGCGGCGCCGGCCGGTCGGTGGGGCGGTCCTCGGTGCCGAAGGCCCTGACTGGGGGGGCGCGCGTGAGCGGACAAAGGCCGGGGCGCGCGGGCGGGGGCGGGCGGGGCGGGGGCGGGCGCACCTTTGGCGAGCGCCACGGTGGAGTTGTCGGTGTCGATGGTGTAGAGGATGCCCTCGTAGCGGATCTGCGCCTTGGAGATGAGGCTGATCTTGCTGCCCAGGTACGGGGTGCCCGACGAGCCGCTCATGGCGGCGGCGCCCGCGCCCGCCCGCCCGCGCCCGCCCGCCGCCCGCCGCTGCTGCCGCCGCCGCCGCCGCCGCCGCCCGCCTTCTGCGCGGGGCCCGCGAACGCGGCGGCGCGGCCGGGGCTCCGGGCGGCGCGGGGGGAGGGGCGCCGCGGCACATCCGGGGCCTCGCGCCGCGCCGCCCCCGCACGCCCGCCGCCCATTGGCCCGCCGCGCCGGCCGCCCTTTAAAGATGGCCGCGCGCCGCCCGCCGGGGGGCGGGGCCTCCGCGCGCGCGCCTGCGCACGGGCCGGCTCCCGGCGGGCCCCGCGCGGCGCCGGCGCGAGGGCCGGCCAGGCCCCGCCCCCGAGCGGCCCCGCCCAGGCCCCGCCCCCGTGGGGCCCGCCCCTCGGGTGGCCTCCGACCAGGCCCCGCCCCCTCGAGTGGCCTCCGACCAGGCCCTGCCCCCGAGTGGCCCCGCCCCGCGCCGCCGCCGCCGCCCGCTCACCCCTGGCCGCCGGGCCGGGCGCTTCCTCGGGGCCGGCGCGTCACTGCGCGCTTCGGCCCCGGCCCCGCCTCGGGGCGGACCCGGGACCCTCCGGAGGCGCAGCGCCGCCGCCCGAGGCCCGCGGGACTGAGTGGCGGGGCCCCGACAGGCCCGGGAGTTCAGCCTCCCGCCGGGCGGGGTCGCAGCCCACCCAGAACGCGCGCCCTGGGGGTCGGGACGCGTCGCGGGGCGGACGCGCGCGGCCCTGGGAGGGTCCCAAGCAGCACCGAGCCTGAGCGAGCACGGGGAGTAGCGGCGGACACGTGACCCCGGGCCTGGTCGGACGTCCCCGGGACCCCCACTCCCCGGTTCTGCAGCTCCCGGGCCTTCTCGGGAGGGTTCGCAGACCCTGGCGCGGAGCCGTCCAGTCTCGGGGCTGAGCTGCCCGCGGGTGGACGCCGTGAGCCCCCCCCCCGGGCACGCCTGCTGGAGGCGGGGTTTCCCCTTCCTGCCAGGTCGGAGTCGGGGCAGGGTCGCTGGGCCTGGGGTCCTTCCCTGCGGGCCAGTTTCGTGCTGACCACAGGACTGTCCCGGCATGCCCACACCTGCGGGTCGTTCCCAGCTGGAGCCTGAAGCGGCTTTGCAGAACTGCCCGGATTCCCACCGAGCATCCAACACCCAGCACGGCTGCTGCCCCGTGGTCTGCGTGTTCTGGAGGGCCGAGCCCTGGGCCCTGGAGTCTCAGGCTGGCCGAGCTCTGGCGTCCTAGGTGAGTGGGAGGCCACTCGGGAGGGCAGCGCTGGAGGAGTGACCGAGTCCCAGGCAGGTACCGTCCTTGGCCACCGCCCCGCGTTTGTGTCTACGGCCTCCCCCACTCAGGGCTTCTCCTCGGCTGCTCCCCCGCAGCTGCTCCTCCCGTGGTCAGACGGGGCACCGGGCCTGAGAGATGGTACACGGTTGGCCCGAGTTTGGTCCCTGAGTGCTGCCGGTGAGCTCCTGAAACTCGCCTGTGAATGACGGTGAGTCACGGTGTCTTAGTACTAGGAAATACCGGCATGCCTGCTCCCGCAGATATGACAGAGAAAGGGGCCAGGCAAAGTCGAGCTGTAGAGCACTTGCGTTGCCTTAGGCTCAATAATGGACACCGCCCCCCAGAAAAGTGGGCACGTTTTAAGTCCTGTCATCGCAGCTGGTCTTGGGGTTCACCGGGTCGTGTCCCCTCCTCCTCTGTCCTGCCCATTTCCACCCGTGCCCGCCTCACTTACGTGTCTATTCAGTTGTGTGGTGGCCCCAGATCTAGGTCCACAGCCCTCCCCCAGTCACACGCTGGCTGAGCCCTGGGGTCCTCTCTGAGCCTGCCTGTGGCTTCCTGTGGCTGGGGGGGGAGTGTCAGTGAGGAGTCCCGCGAGGCCTGCTGGCCGGAGGGACAGAATTCTGCTTGTCTCCTCACAGGCACTGGGGACCAGCCTGGGGCTGGGCAGGCAGCGCTGAGCTCAGGCCTCGAGCTGGCGGGCGCAGGAGGGCAGGTCTGCCGGGGGCAGGGCCTTCTCCGGCTAATGAGCCTCTCACGGGCTCAGCTCTCGATTGCCTGTTAATTGCCCTCAGCCTGTTACTGCAGGTTTCTAAATCAACGCCACTTAGCGGCCTCCGCCCCACACACTCTGCACCCCCAGCCCCTTTCCAGGGAGCGGGCAGGGGCGGGCAGGCACCCTCAGTGAGCCTGGGCCAGCCGTCCCCTGACACTCCTAGTCCTTAGGTCAGAGTCTCCCGGAAGCAGGCAGTGTGGGGAGGTGACGGTTTCTTGGGAAGTCATAGCCGGGGCGGGACAGGGCAGCGGCTGGTCTGGGTGCCCGGAACTGGGGTCTGCTGAGCCAGCTCCCAGGGTTGCTCTGAGCACCGGCACTGGAGGCCTCCCTGTAGCTCCCACCCCGGGGCAGGAGTTCAGGGCCGGGGCCCATCTCTCCCTGCTTGCATCAGGCAGGGTTCCATCCTTGGAAGGGACAGAGGGACACGTCCTCTCCAGGCAGAGCCCGGTGTTCCCTCCATTGTGGGGGCTGGCAGAGCCTTGTCCTCTTCCTTAGGCTCGCTGTCCCATGTCCTGCTGAGCGGGTCCCGGCTATGGTGCCCTCACCTCCCTGGCTGCTGCTAATGGGACAGGGCGCTGCTTGCTGAGGGTCCCCGTAGGGGAGCAGACCAGTGCATCCTGGGAGTCTGGATTGGGGGCTCCTCTCCCCACCTAGTCATCCCTTGGAAGCAGGCAGGGGGGTAGGCAGCCCCAGCAGAGTTCTTGGGGCATAGGAAACGAAGAAGGGCTTTGAAGTTACTGTTGCCAGTCCTAAAGCGCTAAAGCATTATCACCGGACCCGCTGTGGACACAGGACACTGAGGCCCGGACCATCGCACAGCGGGTAAGGTGCTTGCCTTGCACATGGCTGACCTGGGTTTGACCCATGACACCACTTCTGGTCCCCCGAGCCCTGCCAGAGTGACTCCTGAGCACCACTGGGTGCGTGACCCAGGAACCAAGAAACATTTCGTCAAGGCAGAGAGCGCACCTCCGCGTTCCAGGGGCGGCCTGCATCTGCTGACATGTGGACTCCAGCTCTCTTTCCTTCCTCTACCGCTCAATAAAACGTTCACATCACTGTTCCTCTCCTCTCGGAACTCTTTTCTGTGCGGAAAAGGCGACGGACGCCAAACCACTGGGCCGGGACTGACTTTCCTCTCCTGCAGAGCAACTCCCCGCTCCAGCCGAGTTCACGGTGGGAGAAGTTGGGTGGTGGGGTTCACTCCCACGCTGGGCAGACAGTGGGTGTCAGCAGCAGCTTGGCGGGGCGGGAGAGACGTGAGGTCCACTGTGCAGGGGCTCATCGCATGGTTATCGGCCGTAGGTTTCCCAGCCACTTCCTGGGTGACCCTGAGGCACCTGCAACGTCCCGTCAGTCCAGCCCACCCATCTCCACCTGCTGCCTCCCCCTTTGTTTCTTCCATATGCCACAAGTCTCCATTAGTTGGGTTTTGTTTTGCAGCTACTCCTGGCTGTGCTCAGGGATCACTCCTGGTGGGTTTGGGGTGCCAGGGATCTAACCCGGATCAGATGCATGCAAGGCAAGAACCTGACTTGCTGTACTATCACTCTGGCACGCTCTCCGTGTTCCCACGCCAATGTGTCCGTCCATCCACCCATCCATCCATCCACACACCAACTCACCTATTCATCCACCCACTCACCTGCTCACTCCATCCATCTGCTCACGTCTTCACTGCATCCCCCATCCTGTCCATGTACCGAGTTACCCGGTCATCCATGCTTATCCTTTGAACCACCTGCCTGGCCAGTGGACTGATGCTTACTGACCACTCACCCGTCCCTCCACTCCTGTTGCTTGTTTGTTCACGTCTCACACAAGCCTCACTCTGGGTGTCGGGGACAGAGCAGCGAGCAAGGCTCGGGAGCTCTAAGTCCATGGTGACACCAGCTGGGGCTCAGCCTGCCCCAGGGCACAAGGCACACTCACTTCTCAAAGCAAGGGCAAGGAACGTCAGCTGGGCAGAACCTCGGGCGAGACCGAGGACGGGGAGTAAGGAGGAGGGAAGGGGTGCGGGCTCTCCCAAGCCTGATGGTGTGTGAGTGGCTGTGGGCTGTTCCGGTGAGGTCTGGCGGTGTGAGGTGGAGGGCAAGTTCGGGGACCTTCTTCCCTGTTGCCGGTGGCTCCCTGGCTCCTGGATGGGTGGGCGGTGACCCAAGAAACCTCCCCTTCACCCTCACACAGCACCCGGCTTTGCAGAAGTCAGTGCCCAGTACAGGTGTGAACCCCGCACGGGGCCCTGAGGTTTCTGGGGTGCTTGGCTGTGCTGTGCTGGCAGAGAGCTGCCCAGGACACATGATGCGCTCACAGAACAAGGTTTTAGTTTTTTATTTGAGGGGGTCACACCAGGTGAGCTCAGGGGGTACTTTCGCTCTGCACTCAGTAACTAGTCTTAGAGCTGCTCGGGGCACCTTTCGGAAACCTGGATGTGAGCGGGCAGAGCAAGCACCCTACCTGCTGTACCCATGTGCCCGCCCTGCTCACAGAACAGGCCGAAAGATGAAGTCATGCGACGTCCCTCCTCTTTCATCAAGCTCTGGGGCATGTGGTCCCTCCGACTGAAGTGCTGCTAGGGGTTCCCGGGCCAGTCCACGGAACTGAGGGGCTCACCGCTGCTGGGACCCCTGCCCCTCCCCCGCTTTTCCCAGCTTCAAGAGAGAACAACAACGTCACAAAACATTTGGAAATTGCAAAAACACAAAGAAGGCATAAAGACCAGGCTAGGGAGACCCCTGACCACAGCCTGCACGGCCTCTTCCAGGAAGGTGGTCCGGCTTTGCTGGGGGGCTTTTGGGGGGGAGGGAGGAGAAGACTCCACCGTCTCCTGCGGGGCTAGCAGGGGCGCCCGAGCCCTCTGCTCCTGTTCACGGACACCTGGTCACCAGCAGCTCCGAGCCAGGAACCTTCCCTGCCTGCCTCATCTAGGGGTCTTTGTCTTCAGTGCTACCTGGCTCGGAGTGGGAGCGGCTCAGGGGTCGTCTCGGCTGTCCTCCG